ACATTACAAAACCCACTAATCTAACCCAACTTGTCAGGTCGTGAGTACTTCGCCTATTCGTTAATCCCAATTGCATTAACTGGATCTTGTCACTAATGCTCGGAGCTAGAGCGTAAGTTCACCTTATCCTTATTCGACTGGCCAGAGATGGCGCTAACAGACACCAGCTTGTAAGTTTATTGCCTCTGGGTCTAAGGGTCTATGAACCGTGAATAGGGTCTAACGACTGGTCTGTTCTGGAATTACAGTTGGTGAGTGATCCTCTTAATTTCTGAACTACATTTACTAACTCATTGGCAGAGCGTAAGTAATTATTTGGGGTCGTGAAATGAGGTGAGATCACTAAGTGACTGTCTTGTCAATTCCTCTAGTTTGTATGTTCCCTCCCCATGTATACTCTTGTATACTCTGAAACTATGCTAACGAACCCAGTGTGTAAGTCATCCACTACCCAGTGAGTGCTCGAGATCCTGCTAAGACAGGTTCACCACCAGAAAAACAAAAAGGTAAGCCTATTCTTTCAGCTCACTCCACAAAACTAAACTAAATCGGATCCAGCGCGCCGACCCCGTCACCCAGGACGGCGATGTCGATCCCGTCAACAACGGCGAGGTGAACAACAACATCTCGCTCCTGCGGTTCTGTTAGATCGAAACCACGATCGATCGAGGTACGTTCCAGAATCCCGGACGAACCCCTCCCGGGTGGAGAGGAGAGGTAGGGAAGAGACCCAGCTAATCGTGTCCGATAGAGTTGCGGGCTGGACCGTCAAACCTGTGGATGAGATCGAGGAGGCATGGAAGCAGGGTTGATGCCAGCTAGGCTCCATTGTTTGAGCTTAAGTTATGCTCGCATTGACATGGTTCGGAGAGGGGGGCTTCCGAGAGCATCGAGGGGAGAGCTTAGACTTTTATACAGGCAATAAGAGACGATGTGATATGGTCATTTTTCTTGGCTGTATCCACTATCTTGTTTGTGATCTTCCTTCATCTTGCATAATTTCGTAGAACCTTATTCCTGTGTAGTAAGCAGTACCTTTCGAAGTGTTGAGTTTGAATATATAGTTTGAGTCGGTAGTGAGCACTTCAGGACTCGGCAGTTGTAATTTAGTTAACTAGTGCGGCATAACGCTTTCTTAATCCCTACTTGTGCATTGAACTAACTTATCTAGGGTCTGCATAAGTGAGAAGCTTATCGATCCTATGTTGGCATTTAATATATTCGAGAGGATAATTTAACAGCACACCGAATCTTTCCTACGAGAATCCCTTGCCAAGAGGAGAAACCAGAAAAGAAACATAATATTAATAATGGAAATCTGAGATTCAGGTGACCGGAAAAGCGGTTACCCCTTCATAATTTATGCAGGACGAAGTGTTTCGGGCGGAAATGGAACTACCCGGCAGTCTCAAATATATATCGGGCTGGGAACGCACTGTCTGCCCTCCTAGTATACGAGTTTGCTCAAAAATAATACACCACAAAGAAAAAAAAAAAAAACTATTATCCGCACACTGATTGAATAAATGACTTTTAGATTATCATTATTAACTAATACTAAGATTTAGGTATTCCGAAATACACCGGCGCCAATTCACGAAACAAAGGACAAAATAAAACAAGCCACTATTGCTTGCCGGCCGAGACATGAGCGCGGCGAGCCTGGACCGCATCGGCCAGAGAACGGAGCGACGTCTCGGTGGTCTCCCAGTCGATGCAAGCATCGGTGATAGAGACACCCTTCTCGCAGCCCTCCAGGCGAGCGGTGGCCTTCTGGTTACCCTCGCGGATGTTGGACTCTACCATCACTCCGATGATGCCGTCCTCACCCTGGCGAAGCTGATCCTCAATGGTCTTGAGCACCTTGGGCTGGTTACGGTGGTTCTTCGAGGAGTTTCCTGGTTACGCGTCCCGTTAGTTTGGAGTCGGGACGCTAAAGACAGCCACAGCCGCTCCCGGAAACAGTTTCCGTGATGGGGGCGGCAGCAAGGGGCGAAAAATATTTGGAGTGAACATACCGTGAGAGCAATCGATCATGAGAACGTCACGCTCACCCTTCGAGCGGAGAAGCTCCTTGGTGGCCTTGACGCTGTCGGCGTCGAAGTTGGTACCGCGGCTGCCACCACGGTGGATGACATAGCCGTCCTCGTTACCCTTGGTGGTGGTGATGGCAATGAGTCCCTGCTTGGTGGTGCCCATGAAGTGGTGGCGGCCACGCATCGACTTGAGAGAGTCAACGGCGGTGCCGACAGAGCCGTCGGTAGCATTCTTGAAACCGACGGGGAAAGACAGACCAGAGGCCAGCTCACGGTGGAGCTGCGACTCGGTGGTACGGGCACCCACGGCACCAACACTGATCAGGTCGGCCGTGTACTGGGGAGAGATGGTGTCCAGCATCTCGCAAGCGACAGGGACACCGAGATCGGTGATGTCGGCGAGCAGCTGACGGGCGATCTTGACACCCTTGTTGATGTTGTAGGAGTCATCGACGTCGGGGTCGTTGATCAGACCCTTCCAGCCAACAGTGGTCCGGGGCTTCTCGAGGTAGGCCCGCATGATGATGCAGAGGTCATCTTTCAGCTCCTCAGCGAGGACCTGCAGACGCTGAGCGTACTCGATGGCGGTCTCAGGGTCGTGGATACTGCAGGGGCCGACCAGGACCAGGAGGCGGTCCGATTGACGGCGGATGATGTGACGAGCCTCAACACGGCTGTTGAGGACGGTAAGGAGGGAGTTGGCGGTCAGACCGATCTCGTACTGGATCAGCTCCGGAGGGGCGAGGGGAGAGTATTTCTCAACTAGAATAGAAAGCAATGCATTAGTAAATCATCTGTAGTGTAGCAGATTTCAATGCAAAGAATGACACATACTGCGAACATCCTCTGCCAATTTCTTCCGGAGAAGGTCGACATTGGTAGGGTCGAGAGGGACAGACGAGGTGGATACGCTAGGCATTATGTGATATGTGTTTGTAGATGTTAAGGGCAAAAAGAGAAAGCTGAGGAAGAACTTTAGAAGACAAAGGTATAGATATTAAAGAAACTTATATAGCAAAGGGCTTGAGGAAAAGATATCAAAGAAACTGATTGTTGTCTGAGACCGGCCTCGATATAAATATGGTTTCCAAGCAGGTCCCAAACCTAGCTTCTATCAAGTAGTACTCAAATCTACAGCTCCATCGGTGCTTGTTTTCCCTCCCCCTTTAATATGAAAGCGGAAGCTGCGTGGCTCTGACCACATCTTCCACTCGTATGAGAAATTTTATCGAGTTTAGACGGTCGAAATTTGGGGCGTCCCCATCCGCTACGTACCGTATTGTTCACCGTGCGACCATCTCCCGTCCGATCTGATACGCTTCAGATGAGAAAATGGATTCAGCCAGCCCTCGCGAGCCAGGCACCATCCGCCTAGAGAGACGGAACAGTGGACCACGGCTGGGCTGAGAGTTTTTCTCCTGGGTGTCAGGGCATCAATCAGAGCGCGTCGATGGCAGGATCTTCGCCGGAGATGATCGGAACTGCGAGCTCAGGAGGAATAGTTCATGACAATCACGATTTTGCATCTGGGACGGAAGAAGGTTCAGGTGGACCGCGCTTGATGCAGGTGGAACCGGGATCTCTCGCAAAAGCAGCAATGTTGGTGTCATGGACCATCTTTTTGTTTAGGCCTTTTGCCTTTTAGGGTTTCTGAGCAGCACGGGCTGCCCGGACGGTGCGGGTATAGATTACGGTAGATTACTTTCCATACTTTCCATACTTTCCATACTTTCCATACTTTCCATACATACCGCTAGTACCGGAATACTTCCACCAGGGGCTTGACCCGATCGGGGAGATCGGCACTATGCGAGCGGGCAAGCGCCAGCGCGGAACACGGACCCACTTGCACGGGATGCCTTTCGTCACGTCAAATTCCTGTCTGCCTTTCTCTGTAATTGTACCTGCCACGATCTTGGTTTCATCCGGATATCCATCGCCTCGAGCCAAAAGATATTGTTGGGTGAACCATGGCTCGTGTGCGGTTTCATACTGCTACAGTAAGTGCTGCGGCTGGTTTTTGATCAGTTTCACTTTGATGCCAACATCGTCGCTTAAGACATCAGAAACTTTTCCTTCGAATCCTGTTGCATCGTGCTGGCAGGGATTAAACCTTAGTAGCAACCCGGAAGAGAATTTGTCAGGATCTCCATCCTCGATTAGGAGAGCTTCAAGCCTCAATGCCATAAGTCCACGTCACAGTGAAACAATGCTCGCTTCCTCTTGTCCCTTTCGGGCAGGCAACATTCCCGACAGTCACTGCCGGCATCTAGTCAGACGGTCCCAATCTCACGGCTAAAGGATTTGTTTACGATGCTAGTGATGATTTTCGGAACTAGCGGGTGATTCTGTCGTAGTGGTTGGACTGCCTGCGGAGGCGAACTGGAGTTCGCACGATCTCGCTGGCCTGTAGCGCACGGTGGACACTTGCACCAAAACACCAAAATTGATCATCCTTGCTTTCCTCTAGACAAGTACCACTGCAGTGGGTCCGATTGTAAGCTAGGCTGTGGTTGCCATCTCCATGTCATGGAGAATGATTTGAGTTTTCTTCTTTTGTTTTGGTGGGTTTTTTTTGGGATCACTCTTTTATTACTTTTTTCTCCCTCGGTATTCCCTACTGACCCACGTCAGGTCCCAAAGCGGCATGCTTCCCTTTTGCTTCAGGATAGACCCACTCGGAATGAGCTGTGAATGCCAAACAGCAAAGAAAGGGAAAAAAGAAAATTTAATGTGTTGGCCCGGAATAGGAGAGACGGGTGGAAAAACAGTACCGCATGTGATGAGATCACATAATAGGAGTTAGCTTTTTAGTCGGTTCAAGGTTGATCTTTTTCTCTTTTCCTTCTTTCCTTTGGTCTCATCCGCCTTATGCCAATCTCTTTTCTCTCTTTGTTTCCCCAGACTGCCAGACTGGTCGCTTGCTTGCTGGCTCTGGATCTTGTCATTTGAATTTCATGAAGCATGCCGTCTACAATTCTTGACGACGCCGGGCGGCTTCGCCAGCGTTGGACGCAGCTGGTTACTGATGTCACGCCGTCGTATCTCCCCTCTGGTCTTTCCTCCAAGCGCGAGTCCCCTTCGCCGCTTGGGCAATTGGACGTGAGCCTGCAACTCTCTTTGATCCAGGCGTGCTGCCAGCAGTGCGATGTTTCCCCGCTAGGCCTCGTCCAGGCTGCCTGGGCTGCTGTCCTTCGTTCATACTCGGGCTCCGACGATGTCATGTTTGCTACGATTGGGCTGGAACGCCCGAGTCCGAAGCAACAATGGACCAATACCTCTATCTCCAGAGCTCGTCTCGACGGCGGTAGCTCTATTCTTTCTTCCGTGGATCACACGCGACAGGAGGGACTCATTGATTGTGAAGCTATGCTCTCCGTGTCGGAGGCTTTGCAGGTCTTCTCCGTGCTGGACCCCAAGCCTTGCAATTCAGCTATCTGGATCAAGGAGCCTTTCTTGAAGAGTGAAGTTCCCCAGACGGAAATTTGTAATGAACAGACAGTAAGTCTACCCATGTACCATTTAGACGTGATTCAAGACCTGTGCTGACTTGACTTAGTTTGATTATGTCCTACGAGTCGACCCTTCGCTATCGACGCTTGGCCTAATTTACCGCAAGTCAGCGGTCTCGCGTGCCCAGGCCGAATACATTGCCAGCACATTCTCCGATATCCTCCAAAGAGTCTGTGTCGACCCTTATCAGAACATGTTCAAGCTCTGCGCTCCCAGCGAGCTGGACACGTTGCAGGTCGAGGCCTGGAACCGGATCACACCCAAGGGCAGCCAGGTCTGTGTCGATCGGCTCATCGAAGAGAGAGCACACCACTCTCCCGAATCGCCCGCCCTGCAGTCTTGGGATGGATCGATGACATATGCCGAGTTCAACGCCGCCGCCAACAAGGTGGCTCAGTATCTTGAGTCCGCCGGCGTTCAGCGCGGACAGCTGGTTCCCATCTGCTTCGACAAGTCGTTGTGGACCATCGTCACGATGATCGGTCTGTGGAAGCTGGGGGCCGCCTGGGTTCCCCTTGATCCTCGACACCCTCGTCAGCGCATTGAAACGATTGTTTCGTCGGTCGACGCGCACACCGTCATTGCCTCTGCCTCCAACCACGAGCTTCTGGACGGCATTGTACCTCAGCTTATTGTATTTGATACCCCCCTTGTAAAACAGATCGAGTCGGACAGCGACGCAACCTTCAAGTCGCAATCACAGCCTACCGATGTTTCCTTTGTTATGTTTACTTCCGGCAGCACTGGCAAGCCCAAGGGCGTTGTCCACGAGCACGCCTCCGTCGCCTCCAGTGCCCTACACCATGCCTCGGCCATGAACGTGTCTAATACCACCCGCGCCCTGCAGTTCGGCGCCTATACATTCATTATCAGCACTTTTGAAATCTTTACCACTTTAATTTTCGGCGGATGCCTGTGCATTCCGTCTGACCATGACCGGCACACGGATATCCGACCCGTCATCCGGTCGTTTAATGTCAACTGGGCTATCTTCACCCCCAGCTTTGCTCGGTCGTTGAACCACGAAGACGTTCCGACTCTCAAAACTCTCATCGTCGCCGGTGAGGCCGTCGCGCAGGATATCATCGATCGATGGGCCGCCGTGGCCAAGCTGATCAACATCTACGGCTCCAGCGAGTGCTCCGTCTGCATGATCGGCCCTATGATCACGGACACGCCGCGTAGCTGCATCGGCCGGGCCACTGGTGCCCTGTCATGGCTCGTCGATCCCAACGATCACGACCGTCTGGTGCCCATCGGCTCCGTCGGTGAGCTGATCATCGAAGGCCCGACCTTGGCCCGCGGTTACCTGGCGGACCCCGAACGTACGCAGTCCGTGTACGTCGAGAACCCCCAATGGGCCGCGCAGGAGGGCGTCACCCGTCGATTCTACAAGACCGGTGATTTGGCCAGGTACGGCGACGACGGCCGCGTGCACCTCATCGGCCGGAAGGATCTGCAGGTCAAGATTCGTGGCCAGCGTGTCGAGTTGACCGAAATTGAAGCTCACATGCGTGCCATCAACAACCAGGTCAAGACCGCCGTGGCCATGGTGCACCCCGGTGGCAAGGCCATGCTGGTGGCTTTCATCTCTAGCCAGAGTGGATTCGGCCCCGAGTTCGCTCATCCCTTCCACGCGGCGCCCGAGGACAAGTCGTCCATCCTCTCTCTGGCTGCGCAGATGAACCAGGAACTGATCCAGCGCCTGCCCCCTTATATGATCCCGTCGGCCTTCCTTCCTCTTGCATACATGCCGCTGACGGCATCCGGTAAGACAGACCGTCGGGTGATTTCTACCTGGGCTTCCGCTCTGTCTCTGGCAGAGCTGGCTGCCGTTGCTGGTGCCAGTGATGGCACTTCGCGACGCATGCCTACCACCACAGCCGAGATGCGTCTCCAGTCGATGTGGGCTGATATCCTGCACTGCCCGCCGGAGGAGATCGGTGCCGAGGATAACTTCTTCCACTTGGGTGGTGATTCTATCGAGGCTATGAACCTGACCCGGCGCTGCCGTGCCGAAGGATTCCAGCTGCAGGTGGGCGACATCCTCGGAAATCTCGTGCTTAGCGACATGGCCAAGGTCATGGTCCCGGCTCGCTCGCCCGAAATTGCCGCTGTGCAGCCGTTCGAGTTGCTCGGTGGTGATGCCGGCGAGGTTCGCTCGAATATCTTGGCTTCTACCGGATTCGAGGATGCCGATGTCATCCAGGACGCCTATCCCTGCAGTCCGCTGCAGACCGGTCTCATGGCCCTGTCTACCAAGATCTCTGGCTCGTACATTGCCCGACACACCCTGGAGTTGCCCGCCAGCTTGAGCGTCAACCGATTCAAGGAGCTGTGGGAGCTGATCGTTGGCAACAACGACGTCCTCCGCACCACCATGGTTGACACCGACCAGTACGGCACCATCCAAGTGGTCAACCGCGCTCGCATCCAGTGGAAGCATGACTCCGACCTGGAGAACTACATCCAGACCGATGAGAAGATCCCTATGCAGATGGGCGATGCCCTGACGCGTCACGCCGTCATCTCCACGGGGAGCAAGTCGTTCTTCGTTCTGACCATCCACCACGCCATCTACGACGGTCTGTCGCTGGAGATGATCTTCAACGACCTGGTGCAAGCCCTGCAAGGTATCGTGCCTCCCGCGCGTCCCCAATTCCGGGACTTCATCCAGCACGTTACCGAGAAGAACCAGGACAAGCAGACCGAGGATTACTGGCGCTCGCAGTTGGCTGAGGGAGATCTGACGACCTTCCCCTTGCTGCCCTCCGCTACGTACCAGCCCGTGGCCAACGAAACCCTTGTCCACACCCTCAAGGTCAACCGCAACGGTCCGTCGGACTACACGACCGCCACGCTGATCCGCGCCGCCTGGTCCTTGCTCCAGGCCCGCTACTGCGATGCTCCGGACACGGTTTTCGGATGCACTGTCAGTGGTCGTAACGCGCCGGTGTTGGGTGTTGAGGACATGGTCGGCCCGGTCATTGCCACCGTGCCCATCCGCGCCCGTTTCGACGCTCAGACTCCCATCGCCGAGTACCTGCAGCATGCGCACACCCACTCCGTGCAGATGACTCCCGCTCAGAACTTCGGTCTGCAGAATGTGGCCCGCCTGGGCGAGGGAGCCGCGGCTGCTTGCGGCTTTCAGACTCTGCTTGTTATCCAGCCGGCCAGCTCCATTCCCGAGGACAGCATCATCCAGCCATTCTCTGCTCCTCGCGCCCGCTTCAGTACCGTCGCGTTGACCCTGGAGTGCAGCCTGGCCGCGGACGGCAGCGTTCTTGTCCACGTCCACTTCGACAACGGCGTGCTGTCTGAGACCCAGGTTGACCGCATTGTGCGCCAGTTCGAGCACCTTTTGCACCAGCTGGCTTCCGAGCCCATCGGCATCCTTGGCGACCTGGAGATGATCAGTCCCCAGGACAAGGAGGATCTGCTGCGCTGGAACCGGGAGATCCCCAGCATGACTGATGACTGCGTCCACAACCTCATCGCCCAGAACACCATCAAGCACCCTGACGCGCCCGCTATCTGCGCTTGGGATGGCGAGATGACCTACGCCGAGCTGGAGAGCATCTCCTCCAAGCTCGCAGCTCACCTAATCAATGCCGGCGTGGGCCCCGAGGTTTTCGTGCCCATCTGCTTCGAGAAGTCACTGTGGACGATCGTCGCCATGCTGGGAACTATGAAGGCTGGCGGTGCGTTCGTGCCGATGGACGCTTCTCAGCCCACCAGCCGTATGCAGCTGGTGGTCAAGGAGGTCAACGCCAAGGTCATGCTCTGCTCCGAGGAGCAGCTCGCCCGCTGCCCCGGTGTCGTCGAGAAGGCCATCGCCGTTGGACCCGGCATGGCGCAGGCACACACCCCCAAGACCCTGACGACCCCCGTGGCTCCGCACAACTCGGCGTACGTGATTTTCACGTCGGGCAGTACCGGAACTCCTAAGGGATCTGTCGTCGAGCACCGTGCTTTCTGTACCGGTGCTCTCTCGCACAAGGAGGGTCTGCAGATGGGTCGCCGTGTCCTTCAATTCGCCTCGTACACGTTCGACGCCAGTGTTTTGGAGATCCTCTCCACGCTGGTCCAGGGCAGCTGTGTGTGTGTTCCCTCCGAAAACGAGCGACGCGGTAACATCGCCGAAGCGATTACCCGTATGAATGTCGACTGGACGGTCCTGACGCCCTCGTTCGTCAACACGATCGACCCGACTACCGTGCCGACTCTGGAGACACTCTGTCTGGCCGGAGAGGCCATGACAGCCGCTCACGTCGCCGCGTGGACTCCTCACGTCCGGCTGGTCAACGGCTACGGACCCAGTGAGTGCTGCGTCTGCAGTTCCTCCAACCGTGATGTTGTCCCTGGTACCCTCCCTAACAACATCGGTACGCCGGTCGGAGGCGCCTGCTGGGTGGCTGACCGCGAGAACCACAACAAGCTGTCTCCCATCGGCTGTGTCGGCGAGCTCCTCGTCGAAGGTTATACCCTGGCCCGTTACTACCTTAACAACACCGAGAAGACCGAGGCGGCATTCATCTCGCGGCCCTCGTGGCTCCCGTGGTCTCGATGCGACCGTCTCTACAAGACTGGTGATCTGGTCAAGTATGACTCCGACGGGTCTCTGCTGTTCATCGGTCGCAAGGACACTCAGGTCAAGATCCGTGGCCAGCGTGTCGAACTCGGCGAGATCGAATACCATCTCTGTCTGCCCAGCGAGGTTACGCAGTCCGTCGTCGCCTACCCCAAGAAAGGTCTCTACTCCAACAAGCTGGTCGCGATCCTGGAGCTCTCCGCCACTCTGGGCGCCGACATGAAGCAGGTGTCCAGCAGCCGTCTGCAGCGCACTAAGTTCGACCTCTCTAGCCTCTCCAAGTACATGTCCGAGACGCTGCCCGTGCACATGGTCCCCGTCATCTGGATCGTCGTGGAGAAGATCCCCAGCTCCTCGTCCACCAAGATCGACCGCAAGACCGTGGACAACTGGCTCGCGGTGCTGCCCTCGGACTTCGAGCCGGCCATGGGTATCAAGCGTGAAGCTGCCCCCGTCGCTACCGACACGCTCCGCCCCGAGGAAGACAAGGCGCTCGCCATCAGCGGCAAAATCTCCCAGCTGGTCAACCGTGACGACACCCCGCTGCAGGGCCGCAACTTTAACATCTCGTCGATGGGTATCGACTCGGTCCAGGTAATCAGCTTGGCCAGTTTCATCAAGAAGAGCTATAACGTCAAGGTGGACGTGTCTCGCATTCTGGACGGCCAGATGACGGTGCGTTCGCTGGTACAGCTCATCGAGGCCGAGCTCTCGGGCACCGTCAAGCAGGAAGCCCCTGCCTTTGACGCGATGAAGGAAGCCTCCATGCTCCTCAAGAATATTGTCAAGGACACCTGCGTCAAGAAGACCGTCTTCGTCACCGGTGTCACCGGCTTCCTGGGCACCCAGATCCTCCGCCAGCTCTGCGACCGACCCGACGTGGGCCGTGTCATTGCGCACGTCCGCGCCAACACCCCCTCCGAGGCGTTCATCCGAGTCAAGGAGTCCGCCGTGCGCGCCCAGTGGTGGTCCGACTACTACTTGGGCAAGCTGGACGTGTGGGCCGGAAACCTGGCGAAGCCGCGTCTCGGGCTCAAGGCCAAGCAGTGGGCCTCGCTGACGGGTGAGTCGCCCAACGACGGACTCGTGCACTCGATCATCCACGCCGGTGCCGCGGTGAACTGGAACGCCGGCACGGCCGTGCTGCGCGCTGCCAACGTCAACTCCACCGCCGAGCTCATCAAGGCATCCATGCTCTCCCCGGCCAAGCCTCGTCTGGTGTACGTCTCCGGCGGCCACCGCTGGCACGTCGGCGAGAACGATGCGGACATTGCGCGCGAAGTGGCCCAAGCCAACGGCTACGCGCAGACCAAGTACCTCTCCGAGCTCCTGGTCAAGCAGTTCGCGGCCATGCACCCGAACCAATTCTCCATCGTCAAGCCGGGTCTCATCCTGGGCACGCCGGAAGAAGGTGTCGCCAACACCGACGACTTCATCTGGCGACTGGCATCGGGTGTGGTGGACGCGCGCGCGCACAGTCTCGACCACGGCGACGGGTGGATGTTCGTGACCAGCAGCACGCGAGTCGCGGAGGAAACGGTCTTCCAGGCCTTCTGCCCGGCCGAGGCCATCAAGACGGTGACCTACATGACAGATGGTATCACGGAGCGCGAGTTCTGGGAGATCTTCTCGCGGGAGCTCAAGTACCCGCTGAAGGTGGTCGACCACGCCACCTGGATGGACATCATGCACCAGTCCATCCAGAAGGACGCCAACAACCACCCGCTGTGGCCGGTGGCGCAGGTCTTCGACGCCATCCAGGGTCGACTGGGCGGAGACATGCTGAACGACGCCGCTGGCGTGGTGTCGCCGTCGCAGAAGCAGCACGTCAAGGCGACCATCCGCCGCAACGTGCAGTTCCTGGTCGAGGCGGGATTCATCGCCAGCCCGACGGGCAAGAAAATGAAGTATGTGGCCGAGAAGGTGTTCCAGCGCTCGGGTAATGTGTGGGACAATGTGAAGACGATGGTGAACGGATCCTTCTAAGTCCTATAGGATGGATTAGAACGGTGTTATCTGCTTAATGATTGACCGATGTAATGTTTGGTTTGCGTGGATGGTTCTTATTATTTGTGATTATCTTTTTTCGGTGTATAAATAGTCCTACGCATTACTGTATATAATTGTTAATTGTGACTGCTGAGTTGATTCGATCTGGTTCGCCAGAGTAGGTTCACATAGTGTATAGTCTTGTAGATGAAGACGTCAATCTCCGGACACAGAAAGTCTAGAAACTGAACTCACCCACCAAGTCAGGTACGGCTGAGATCAGTCCAATTAATGGATTCATGCAACCCAGCCGATCCCAGTACCATGGATTAGTCGTTGTGTCCCACTTCTCCTATTCCTTCAGCTCTGGTCCTCGATCGATGGCTTGCCCTAAGTCCCTAAATCAGCCGGGTCGCCAGCTCTATAAGAACCCGCTCTCCCCCGTCCTCAATCCCCTTCCTCCTTCTCCTTCTCCAACATCCACCCTTCACTCAACCCCACCTCAAACAAACCCCTACCTCAGCCCAACGAGCAATCACCATGGAAGCCTTCATGCCCGCGCCCTCCCCCCCAACGGAGCTCGGCCACTACCGCGTCCTCTCCTCGACTGCGGGCATCCGCGTCTCTCCTCTGCAACTCGGCGCCATGTCCATCGGCTCGGCCTGGTCCTCCGCGATGGGCAGCATGGATAAAGAAGCGTCGTTCGCACTCCTCGACGCCTTCGTCGCCGCAGGGGGCAACTTCATCGACACAGCGAACAACTACCAGAACGAAGAATCGGAGACGTGGATCGGCGAATGGGCCGCGACCCGAGGAATCCGGGACCAGCTGGTCCTGGCGACAAAATACACCGGCGAATACAAGGGGTACCAGATCGGGAAGGGCAAGACGATCAACCACGCCGGGAACCACAAGAAGAGTCTGCATATGAGCGTGCGGGATTCTCTGCGCAAGCTGCAGACGGAGTACATCGACGTGCTGTATGTGCATTGGTGGGACTATACGACGTCGATCGAGGAGGTGATGGACTCGTTGCATGCGCTGGTGCAGCAGGGCAAGGTGCTGTATTTGGGGATCTGCAATACCCCTGCGTGGCTGGTCAGTGCGGCGAACACCTACGCCAAGATGGCGGGTAAGACGCCGTTCAGCGTATACCAGGGCCGGTGGAATGTGATGCAGCGGGATTTCGAGAGGGAGATTATCCCGATGGCGAGGCAGTTCGGCATGGCGCTTGCGCCGTGGGATGCGGTTGGGGGTGGCAAGTTCCAGACGAAGAAGGCGCTGGAGGAACGCAAGGCTAGCGGCGAGGGACTGAGGAAGCTGATGGGGTCTGAGCAGGGAGAGGACGAGGTGAGGATGAGCGAGGCGTTGGCCAAGGTGGCCTCGGAGCATGGCATTGAGTCGGTGACGGCGATTGCGCTGGCGTATGTGATGAGCAAGACGACGAATGTGTTCCCGTTGGTGGGCGGACGGAAGGTCGAGCATCTACAGGATAACATCCAGGCGCTGAGCATCCGCTTGACGGATGGGCAGATCGCGTACCTGGAGAGCGTAAGGCCGTTAGATGTCGGATTCCCGCAGAACATGCTGGGCGAGGAGCCCGGAGTGTCGGGCAAGATGGGCATGGCGCTGGCACCGTCAGGACACATGTCGTTTGTGAAGTATCCCCGGGCTATTGGATACTAAGTACGAGATAGATAAGTGGGATGTATGGATGGATGGATGTATGTAATGTAGTAGTATTATGTGCAGTTTGATTGATTATTTATGGACAAAGATGGGAGTTGGATGCTCCATCACAGTAGATGTTATCCACACCAGTATCACACAAGCTCGGGCGAGATAATTTAGCAGCCCTTGCACTCCTTCACCCACAGGGGGGTGACCTCGTAGTTGCTCTTGCCGAGGCCAATGTAGGCGACCTTCTCGGGGCTCTGGGGGCTGACACCGAAGAGCTGCTTGCCGCCGAAGGTGAAGTAGCCGTCCTCGGTCTGGCCGAAGCCGGTCAGGTTGGCGTTCTCGGGGGTGGCGCCGGAGTGAGGGATGGTCAGAGCGATGGGCTTGATGGCGTTATCGACGACGTAGAGGTTCTGCCAGGCAGTAGGGGGAGAGCCCTCGCGGGTGTAGGTAGCACCGCCACCCTCGCCGCCGTGGAGGATGAGGATCTCGTTCTTGTTGGCGTCAGCGCCGATGAGGGCGTTGGCTATGAGTGGAATGTCAGTATCTGTCACTTGGTGTAGGCGTCAGGGAGCAACGTACACCCGTCAGTAAGGACGGTCTTTCCACCCTCAGCAACGAGAGTGAAAGCCTCGGGGAGAGAGGCGGCCAGGGAAGCGGCGACGAAGGCGGAGACAGCGGCGATGGAGAACTTCATTGTGATTGAGGACGAGATTGATTTGTGATGAATCAGAATGGATGAGAGAGATGGCAGACTGGCAGCCGGGGGTATTTATATCAGAATCTCCGGCACGAACCTGATCCCTCATCACACAATCCAGCGATGAAGCTAAAGTGGAGCCATGTCTCAGCGGTCTTTTCTGGGATCGGGTATTTCTCTCCTTTTTTCCGATCCCAATTTTCTGGAATCAACCAGCCCGCCAAGAAGAGAGCATGATCAGCGCCCGTTCCAGCAAAAACCAATAGTCTATTTTTGGCAAAACCATTGATCTCCCCTAGAGCGTTCGGGGGGAGGAACTCAGGAAAGCTGGGACGAGAGGCTGAGAGCGCTGGGAAGGCCGGAAATACAAAATACGGTGTGGGCAGGCGACGACAGAAGATAGCAAGGATCGACAGAATGTCGTCACTAGCTTCTCCGCTGGCAGCCGCTAGTCTCACATCTCCACCAAATGTCTCATGGGGTTTCCTGGAGAGCCGGATTAGCCAAGTCCACGTCGTTGCAAGGCAGGCGTCGGAGGACTCGGTCCAATGTTCGGCTTCGCGCTGCACCTTTTGAGACATGCATTTCTTTTCCTAGCACAGACATCCTTCAGGACGCAAGTATCGGATGAGGTCTCACCGACCTGTTGGGACCCGAATTTTGGGGCGATCGTCGACTGTTGAGTCTGGGTGGTGAAGGGAAACTATTGAACGTTGCCTTCGGGAGGAAGTTGCTCTGGCCAGTTTGTCTGCGATGTCTCGATTGCATCGTTTATCTGATACCGGTGCCTCAGGTCTCCAGGCACTACTGGACAACCTGCCATGCTGAAGTGAGGGTTATGTAACTCGTGCAGCGTCAATCCATCAACTCAAGCTCAACTGAGTCTGGCGCCCTGTACGGGGAACTCGGGACAAGCCTCGGAAAGGGGGCGTAGTCTTTATCCACTTCAGCCGGATGCCTCACTTTCTCTCCACGATCTCGGCCTGCAGAATGTGGCTGAAGGCTGCTTTGCCATTTGCTGCATAGTGGCGACTGGCGAACGCCTCTGATGATTTGAAGACCGACGGTCCGATTAGCTCCGTTTCGTCTATTTTTGTTCGCATTACTATGATTCTACGGCATGCCCAGGTAGGACTACGGAGCTGCTGGCGAGGGCTCAGATGTCATTCTGACTGACTGTCTACTGAGTAGAGATTCCCGGAGACACCCACGAGTCATTAGAGCGTCATATTGCACAAATTGATCAATCCAATCCACTAATCCTGGCGGACTGTTGCCTGAAAATGACCACTCAACAATGTCTTGGATGATGTGGCGACCTCCAACTTGACGAGTTGGAGATGAATACCGGGATCTTGTTAGCTACGATTAATATCGTTGGCATGGCGTGATAGGATCAACCAAGGCATAATGGCATCTTCGCCTCAATACTCCTGCCATCCGCAATACTACACAGTACATGGTCCCCGGGATATCACAGAACCCACAAAAGCGGTTGGGAATCGGTCAAAGACCCTGCGATGAGACCTGTCCATTCAGCAACCATCAGACAACTTCCCGGTCAAGAAAGGCCTCGGATGCCCGATCATTACGTGAAAAAGCAAGTGGATCTTCTCAACCTTCAGAGCAGGATATCTCCATGACTCCATCAACTATGAACCTTAGACAAAAAGCATAGACACCGTAACGAGACCAAAACACCGCCCCCTAAAGAAGTGCCCGGGTAAGCAACCCCCCCTGTCCACCCCCCTGTCTCCTTCTCTTGTCTTTCCTTCCCTCTTTCCATGTCTCTTTGATGAAATCCGCACAGCGCTCGCCAATCCCGTACGCCACCATCTGCGTGTGTCCGCCGCAAAGCACTGGCATCACGCTCGTGTCGGCTACCCGCAGGCCAGCTACCCCTTTCACGCGGAGTTTGTTGTCTAGGACAGCCATCGGATTGCCGTCGGCTCCCATTGCACATGTCCCGGACGCATGATAGCCTGTTTTCGTCAGTAGGATCCCTCTATCAACGGGACACCGAACTTACACGTCGTGGCATGCTGCCTGACATACGGCACCCATTCCTCACGAGTCTTGTACGTATGATGTGAGAGGTTCGGAGGCCATGATCCCTTCACAATATCCTTCGTGCCGGCACCCTGTATCACAATCTCGTTGCCGAATCGACATGCCTCCGACAGGACCAGCAGATCCATCGGGTCAGCCAGATAATTACAGTCGACGATCGGGTTCTCCATCGGATCCTTCGACTTCAGCGTCACCGTCCCGCGAGACTTGGGGGCAAACAATTCCGCGATCATCGAGAAGGCGTGCTGATGGTTGATCGGAAACTGGTCGTATTGCTTCGGCCCGCCGTAGCATTCCGTGCTGAAGAACTCGACGTTGGGCTGTTTGGGGGTCAGTCCCATCGGGTCTCGTCCTGGTTCTCGCGGGGCGTTTTTCCACAACGGCTCGTCTTGAAGACGGTCGTCGAGACGGGCAAAGGCGAAGGAGCCGAAGGGGAAGGTCGACAGGAACCCGGACTTGTTTTCCTTCCACTGGGTGTAGGTCTTGCTGAAGTTCTCGTCGTGGTAGACGTGATAGTCGGTTGTTAGGCCGGGCTTTTCGGTCTCGTAGAACATGAACACGATCTGGTCGCGTTAGTATGGGTAAGGTCAGCACCTGTCGGTGTATCACATACCAGATGATCCATCAAATTCTTCCCGACGCCCGGTAAGTCAACATTGCAAGGGATCCCAACATCCTTCAGTTCTTGACGTGCGCCGATGCCGGACCGCATGAGAACGGCCGGACTGCAGTAGGCACCTCCCGAGATAATAACCTCCCTCCGAGCATGGAAGGTCCGCGATGAGCCATCGGGGAAGACGCCGACTGCACCCGTTGCCCGAAGCCCATCGACACCCTCTTGCAGTATCACGCGATCCACGGTCGTATCTGTGAGGATGGTGACATTTGCACGCTGGTACTCGTTCGTTATGTAGTCGGCAGAGGTCGATCGGATTCCCTTATGCACCGTCCGCGGTACATGGCCACATCCATGGGGAACATCCCCGGTGCTGAACATGTCATGACGAAGCGGGAGGCCCTGCGAGACGAAGGAATCCAGAAGCAGGTTGCCGATAGGAGCCAGATCATGTGGCTCGGTATGCAAGGGGCCCGACGTGCCGTGGCTTTCAAGATCTGCTTGGTGCCAGTCTTTGGGATGGAAGGTTTCTGCCTGTTTGTTCAGTATTAGCTATCGCGACAACTCGATGTCGAGAGCAGATCAGGCCTACCTTTTTCATCGCCGCAAATACCTCCTCTCCGCTCCATCCCTCCAGACCCCAATCGTCATAATCCTGCGGACTTCCTCGCACACACAGCGTGCCATTGCAGCCGGAGGAGCCGCCTAGAAACCGCCCGCGACTGAGCTTGACCTGGCGATCGTCGACTCCTTTCATCGACGGCGTAACGATATTCCAGTCGGTTTCCGAGTCGAAGTTATTCGACCATCTACTCATGTCAGCGTGAACCACCCCACGGGGTAGACGACCTACCCGCCAGCCATATGCACATTTTCCAAATCCTTGCTATGCTGCCCTGCCTCGATGACGAGAATGCGGACGCTTGAGTTTTCCGCCAGCCGACCGGCGACGACGCAACCGGCAGTGCCTCCCCTGGCGAAGGTCAGTCATGTTATGCATCATGCCAGTGTACACGAGACTCCAACGCACCCGCAGATAATATAATCGTAGATCTCAGTCGAATCCATTGTAGAAATCAATCAATCAACCTTTGATATCCACCAGACCCAAAACCTCAGTACCCCGGCCCAAGCCATCTTATATACCTCAACTCCGCACATCACCCAGACAGACAGGTCAATCCCGCGGATCCATCACAGCCTCCGTGAGGGGGTGAAATGACGGCGGGATGCATCAATGGCTGCAGACAGAAAGTCTATTCGCATCGCTGCGCCAATGATCAGCTACATTATCAGCGGAATGCGTTCCGTGCGCGCATCTCCACGCAACTCCCATCGAACTCAAATCGAGGTTCTGATGGTAGGATCACCGCGCGGAAGCGTCGCGGAAGGTTGTTAGTTAATAGGAATATAAAAGGGCAGTGCCCGCTAAGTAGTAGCCCCCTCTATTAAACTGCCTCATGAATGAGTCGACCAATGAATCGAGGGTTCCTTTTCTGGGGTTATGGGATCTTAACCTTTTCATCCCCATCACTCAGCAAACCAAGCCACTCGTAACGCAAAGGAATTACACAAAAACCCTAAAAAGGGCCCGGCAATCCGCAGTGAAAAATGAGTCTTCTGGCCGGACCGCGGCGGAACAGATTCCGAATTCCCGCATCGTCGAGTTCCAAGGAATCCCCACGGGATATGGCGAGAGTACCACAGTTCGCTGCTGTCGGAATTCCAATGGGCGAAAGAAATTATATTAAATCAAACAAAAATAAAAGGGGGAGAGAGAGGCATGAGATTTCCTCTGGGTATATATGGCTCAATTGACAGGGCGAAATACATGAAAATATATTTAATATTCCTCTTCAAATACGGTATTGTAATTCTACCACTAGGTATCAAAGGGTACGACATGTCGCCGCCCCACTCAGATAACTCGGTTATCTGGCCCCTTCCGCCCGTCCTCGTTTTCGAACGATCACGTCCTCCTACTGGGGGACTTCAACCTTCCCCACCCTGCCTGGGGCGGCGAGACCGGGATGCCCTTTCTAACCAGTTACTTGACTTAAGGGATAGAAGGTGCCTGGACCTCTGGCTAGAGCCGGGCACCACTACCAGAGAAGAAGCCGGAGCGAAGATCACGATCGACCTGGTCCTCGGCTCGCAGGACCTGACCCCTAGGCTCGTTGCCTTGGAGGTCACTGAAAAGATCCACGCAGATTCCGATCACCTACCCATACGGACCCTTATCGACATCCAAACCAAGACCCCGGAGGCGTAGCGGCGCCGCAACTGGAAAGCGTACAAAGTGAAAGATCTACAGGCTTTTGTAGACCTGAACCTACACAGCAAGGCCTTTCTACTTGAGAATAAGCAGCACATTAAACTCGCAATGGAGTTCCTTATTTGAAACTGTAAATCAAGGAATATCAACGTCTACCCTGTGGGCACGACCAAGCAGGTGGGCGAACCCGTCTTTTACCCCGGAATGCCGAGAGATGATCAAGATCACTCGTAAATTCAGGCGTGCATATACCGAGACCTGCATAGCTATGGGCCCTACCGATCCCACTACGGGGCTGGGCTGGGACCGGTATGCGAAGGTCAGAAACCGCAAAGGAAAAGTGCTGGCGAGGGCCCTACGGCAGGGACACCGGACCTGGGTCAGAAAGGCCACCGAGGCAGGCCCCCAAGGCATGTGGAGATTGATTGATTGATTGATTGATTGAGTGGGTAAATCCCTTACATGAAGCCCTGTTCTTTCATGTCCAAGCCTTGGCTTAGAAAAGGACAATTTCCAAGCAACATGTAGGCATAGCTGGCATAATAGTCAATGCGTAGTACATGTGTAAGTAGATGTTATACCAAAAGTTCGCACGGAAATCAGTGATATGATATCATAGCTTACGCTTGGTAGTACAGAGGAATCGTAGCTCTTAGGAAACCCAGAGTGGCTCTCGGGATCCTTGTTGGTCTCCAGAATCTCGAACGCCCCTGACTGCTTTGTAAACTAATACCCTGAAATAGAAAGATAATGCCTTGAGACTATTTAAACTCGCAAAGGGCTCCCTTCTCTAGCAATCTCGGTTAGTCACTCTTAAGTGAAAAGTGCTCAATTACTTTCAATTTCTGCATTAATGGTCCGTCGAAAGAAAGTCCTTTTGGGTCGCTTCTGGTACTAGTTCGAGGCCTTTGTTGTGGACGAGCCTTGATGTTTTTTGCGCAAGGGAAGTGTAACCAGAGTAGACGCAGTAAATTATTATTTTGTTGGCTTTGTTCATTATTACAGAATCTATAAACTGTGGCGGGAGAATGATATGCCCGGCGTATCCGTGGCTACAATTTGGGAGCTGTGTTATGGATCAAACAGGTTAGTTTAATTGTCGTCATTACACTAGTTATTTGATGGGTCGACTGAACTCATGCCCTCAGCGGACTTGTTTTGTCTAACGTCAATATTCAGGCATCTACTATCGCTATTTAGGTTTTCTAAACCTGAAATGTACCACTTCACCAGGGCGAACTTTGAGCTTCAGCAAAGCCAATGGTAGCATTTGTGCCTTGATTCGCTTCCTAGACGTTCCCTCGTCCGGCTGCTACAGAACTTACCTGATGTTTCTGCAGTGTTGCACAGCTCCGTGAGCGCTCCTCTGATAAGAGCCATTACGCTCTTTCCTCTTATTCGTGATCGTATCATTACACTGACACCTGACGCTTCGATAGGACTCCCTCCCTCGAACCTCCTCCGGTCCGCCCTCTTATTCCACCTCGTTCAGCTGCCCCGGTCCCAGAGACCGTACAAAATACTAAAGGAAAGGGACGCGGGCAACTTCAGCAGTCTGAGAGAGTGTTAGAGAGGAGGAACAAAGGAACATATACGTCCGAGCGTTTTAAAGACGAAAAAGCAAGCGTTGCCCGATCTTCCAGAGGCAAAGGGCAGGCAGGGAAGGAGGGTTCGCCCGATCCTATCGTTCAGGCGTTTACTGTACCTTTGAAGACATTCAGGGTCAAAATTCCAGACTGCTATAGTGCAGCTATGGTCTCTCCAGAGCGAGATCAGTGGAAAGACGCTATGGACAGACAGATTGAACCTCTTGAGCTTATTCACGTATGGGAGACCGTCGATATGCCGTGCCCGAAGCCCCATATCTTGCCGGGAAAATAGGTATATGCTGTCAAAGGCGATTCCAACAACAACGTCACACAATTTAAAGCGAGATGGGTGGTATGCGGAAATTGGCAACAGAAAGGGATTGATTATGATCAGGTCTCGTCCCCTGTGACCGTGGATAACCCGGTTAAGATCTTCCTGATTACTGTGGCGGTACGGCACTTGAAATGGATACAAATCGACATGACAACTGCATATCTGAATGCGGAGTTGAAATCCCGTATAATTTATATGAAGTAACCCACTGGCTTCAAAGATTCAGGGTCCCCGAAGGTATGCAGATTGCTGCGTGCCCTTTATGGACTGAAACAGGCGGGATTACTATGGAATGAGTTTTCGATACGGCTATTCGCGACCTCGGACTGTCTCCCACAGAGCCGCCTTCCTGCTTCTACACTAACGGCAACTGTATGATCATTATCTACGTGGATGATTCGATTATCGCGGCCCCTACAGATGAAATCGTCACTTCATTTCTTGATCAGCCCACTGAGCGCTTTGAATTAAAAGTCCTTGGCGAGCCAACTCGCTTCCTTGGCTACAACATCAAACGCGATTATCAGAATAATACGATTGCGCTCGGGCAAAGTGCTTACACCGAGAAAATCCTGAATGGGACACAATACAGCTTATCACCTGCAAAATTGCCTATGATGCCTGGCTGAAAACCTTCTGATAGTCCCGTTATGGATGCGGCAGGGCTTCATTCTTTTTTCAAGCAAATGTGACATCTGAATTGGTTAACGAAAACCCGCCCTGATATGCAATATGCAACTTCAACTCTTCTGCGCAGGAATACGAAGGCAAATAAAGCGGATATGGCCACTGCCTTGCACACACTCGGCTACCTGCTCCAGAATTCCAGATATGGCCTCATCCTGGGCAAGGATCCTGATGGACATCTCTACGGCTACGTCGACTCATCCCACGCCGATCAGGAAGGCGCTAAATCGACTGAATCCTTCATATTCTTCTACAAAGGGTCCCCGATCTCCTGGAGATCGAAGGCGCAGTCAATCGTTGCCCCTAGATCATCGCTCGCGGAGTTTATTGCATGGGCTTCAGCAGTCAAGGAGGCGTTATTTCTGAAGCGTCTCATTGAACCTGTGGATGGGTGCATTACCGAGCCCATATTAATTTACACCAATTCGGCAAATGCGTTGTCCTTGCTCAACAAACCGAGCTATTCCCCTACATTGAAAGGGATTGGTATTCGCTTCTTTTTCGTGAAGGATGCCGTGGCGGACGATTTGGTCAGATTTGAATACGTTGCTTCAGAGGAAAACGTCGCCGACACCAAGCCGCTTCCCGGCCCGAAGTTTGACCGTTTCTACGCCAAACTCAATTAGGAGACGGACTCTGTTTTTCAAACTGCGATTCTTATTGCATTTTCGACCGATTTGGACCCCGTTTGCTCTGATCGAGCGCCTGCAGCCATATGGGGGGTGTTGGAGCCTGCTAGTATGGCTTGCGGCGCTAGGCTGCACGTAGTTAGTCAGTCAGCTGAGCTGACCCACACTGGGCCGCTGCATTTCTAGAACCTCTGCAGTTGTAGTATTAGAGATAATCAAGCGTTTCCATCTGATTCCCTAGCACTTTCAGAGCCGACGCTCATAATCTAATGCTAAAGGGTACGTAAGTTTATATGCGCCGAAGTCTAGGTTAGGAAGAGTGTAATTGGAGCAGATAACCCCCGAAATGGAAGAGAGTCTGCTGAAACGCTACCTAATAGTGAACTATGTTTGATGTGCGGCATAGATCGCGTCCACGCCTGACGTAAGTCATTGTGCCTTGTCCAGCACCGGCGCAAACCGGCTTTTCATCCGTAGAGACCTCCCATAGAGCAGGAACACCACGGGGATGGGGATTAGGACGGCAGCAACACAGCCTAACAAGGTACCAGCCCACTGGATTCCCATGCCGGCGAACATCTGCCGGGAGAATAGCGGGAACCCTGCTGCCACCAGGGAACGGCAGAAGGTGTTTGCTGCTAATGCCGAGGCGGCGCTGCAATGGTTAGCCGGAACAAAGTAAAAAGGGAGATAAGAGCAAGGTGGTACGCTACTGACTAGGCAAGATACGTGTCGATCAGGTAATTGAACAACTGGATGAAGATAATCAGCAGGCCGGCGCCCGTGAAGAGGCCGCTGAGCGTCGGCGTGATCCAGTGAATGCTGCGCGTGAACCCGGTCCAGCCGAGCCAGAAGAGCCCTGCCGAGAAGAGCACGCCGCCGACGACGACAGGGGGCAACCGCCACTCGGGGACGGGGATGTTATTGTTGGCCTGTAGCTTGGCATTGTATTCCTTGCTCACGTAGAGCATGTAGAGTGTTGCAACAAGGAGACCAACGATGATGGCCAGCAGCGGGAGCCCGCCGATACCGGCCGACATGCCGTAAACGCCCTGGAAGATGCTGGTGTAGGCGGACAGAAAGCAGTATAGTAGGCCGTAAATGAAGCTAAGATAGATCGTCACGGCCATAATCAGGGGTTCTTTGAAGAGCATCTGCAGGGGCCGGCCCAGGTTGTTGATTATTAGGTCTTGTAGGTCGGTTTCGATCTGCTCCTGCTTGGCATGAATGCCCCAATTGCCAGTAATGCGACGCAGCTTGGAGGCCTTAGATACTAGAATAACGGGTGCATAGGTCTCCTTAAGAAAGAGGAGATTGAGGACAAAAGCTCCGTATCCCATGAAGGAGGGTATGTAGGCGGTCCAGCGCCAGCCGAGATACGACTCGTCAATAAATCCGCCAACACACGGTGCGATCAACGGCCCCAAGAAGACGGTGTTGGCGAAGAGGGCGATAGCAACTCCACGCGTGCGGTTGTCGTACATGTCAGCGAAGATGGCGGCAACGTTGATGAGCGGGCTACTGCCGAAGACACCGCCGAAGAAGCGACAGATCATCAGGGTCTGGAGATCCTTCGACACGGCGACGGCAGTGTTGAAAATGCCGAAACCCAGCATGGCCACGACAATAGGGAGGCGGCGACCGTGGCGTTCGGAGAAAGGCGCCCAGACCAGGGGGCCGCACGCGTAACCGGCGATGTAGAGCGAGCTGGCCAGGGCAGCTACTTCGATATCGACGCCAAAGTGTTTGGCCACCTGGCTCATGGACGGGCTGAAGACGGCCGAGTCGAAGGTCGAACTGACGCAGGTGAAGGCGAGGATTGCACTGATGTAGAGTCTGGAGAGTCAGGATGCTGTCTGCCAGTTGAAACAGGGGGCAAGGGGTGAACTACCTGGTCCTCATCGGCCAGTTCTGGGCAAAAGCCGGGTCATCTGGGCCGTCAAAGTCGACGACATATTCCTCACGGTTCGGTAGCAGAGGTGGAAGTGACCTACCTCGCCCAAATGACATTGCTTGGGTTGCTCCGTCCGAGGGAAGGCTGCGTTCCACGTCGACCTCGACTGCTCGGGGTTCAAGGTCGTAAAGCTGCAGGCCGGTACTGCTCATATCGAATGGCTGTGTTAGGGTTGAATGTTCCTTCGAAGCAAGTCTACCAGACAGGTCGACTATCGATTCTCTCTCGACAATGCGCGAGAACTCGAATTCTCTGTCAGTTTTGTGTATGCCGCCGGTCTGTGCTTGGCCGCAGCAGCGAGTCCTGCGAGTGCAGATTTGAATGTGATACGGCATACAAATGTCCATGGACACAGAGCAGCAGTGCATCAGAAACCTGTGCCGATATATCCGGTTTGAAAGCCACGGTGGTGATAAGTCGCCAAGGGAACCCCCACCGAGCTTTAGGAGTCAAGGGACTCACCGCGTGGGAGAAAAGGGCAGCTTCGAGTGCCGATGCAACCGAGAACAGGGCCATGGGACCCACGATGGTTGTGAATTTATGACCAAGCGTGGCATTGGTCGGGCATAAGTAGTACTTACTACCAAGGCCACTAATAGGCCTCTAGATCAAGTGGGTGTTTCAGCCATGCAGGCCAGAGAATGTAAATGGCAGGCCCAGGGTGGATAACGAGCCCACAACGGACAAGGAGCAGGGTGTCTTTATCGACGACTCGTTTATCTCACCCTTTGCTTGACTGGAAGACTCAGCGAGGCGATGACAAGGGGCGTTCCAACCCAACTCTGTTCCACCCTCGATCCATGTTCACTTGCTAACCCCGAGCTATCTCTGTTCTGGATTCTACCCGACGAAGGTAGCGGGGCCTTGTCGAAAGCCTTTTCACTGTCATGGCGCCGAATCTAGCTTCACAGCTAGGATGTAGTATAAAAGACCATGACTGGTATCTTCGTTGCTTTTGCATCTCGACTACACCGTTTCCTTTCCAGCTAGCAATATGTACTCTACCATGTTTACAGCAGGACTTTTTTTCCTCCAAGCGGCTCTCGCTGCGCCGCACTACTCAAGTGGCTACCATTCCAAGCCCGCTTCCACCGTTTTTCAGCTCGAGCGCAATGGCAGTTGGTTCGAGAATCTTGCTGTGCGGTCCGATGGCACCCTTCTCGCTACGCGCATCGACGCCCCCGAGATCTGGTCCATCGAGCCGAACAACAACAGCAGCCATCCGAGGCTCGGCTCGCTCCTCGTCACCTTCCCCGACGCCATGAGCACGCTGGGCATTGCAGAGATCGATTGTGATGTCTTCGCCGTCGTTGCCGGCAACCTCTCCCTCCCCAACATCATCCCGACCCATGGCTCCTTTGTCATCTGGACCGTTGACCTCACCCGCGCAACCCCCTCGACCCAAGTTCTAGCACACATGCCATCTGGGGAATTTCTAGACGGCATGACCAAGTTTAGCGACGATCTCCTCCTTATTGCAGACGCTTCCAAGGGGGCAATCTGGCGTCTCAACGTGAGAACGGGCGAACACTCGGTAGCCCTATCCCATGCCTCAATGGGCCCGGCCACCGGGCAGCCCGTGACGGTAGGGGTGAACGGGCTCAAAGTGCTAGGTAACTACGTCTACTACACCAGTACCAGCCAGGAAGTCTATGCGCGTATACCGGTTGACGATAACGCGACGGCTGTAGGCCCGGTCGAGATCATCACCAGCGGATTTTACTTTGATGGCCTTGCGCTGATGGCTGATGGGACGGCGTACCTCACGACGAATCCACAGAACGAGGTGATAGAGGTCTCACCCGAGGGACGTGTCCGGTTGTTTGCAGGGAACCAGTTCATGCTGACGGTGGGCGGGTCGACTGCTGCCACCATAGATCAGGAACGTTCGATTCTGCATGTGGCGACCAGTGGTGCTCAGTTTGCGCCAGTTATGGGCCGCATGGAGCCTGCGAAGATTGTGGCCATTTCTTTATAGATTGTTTGCTGTACGATAGAGTATCATTTATGCCTTTCCATTGATCTTGTAACCTCTGGTCGGGGTTAAATGTGGCTATCTATGTCCATAGGACTACTAAATAAGATATCGCCATGGTCCGAAGTATTACATGTTGTACAAATGCTACCTTCCTCGAACAGTACGTTGTATAAAGCGATAGACCAATAAATCATCTTGAACACTTCAATTGCTATCTCGTAAAAGTATGCGCTATGTACATGTCAAAGCCAGCAGGATTTTATGTTTTAACCTGAAAGCAACTAGGTGACCCAAAGATGAAAGTGACCTAAACTTTGATATTGAATTCCCATGTGTTGTACAAGGGAAATATGAAAATGGACTGGGCGATAAGATACGCATTGATTGTTAGATAGAATAATGTTGGCCGTCTCTCTAGGCGTTATTGCTAGTAATGTACCCTTAGGAATATCGAATGATGAAGGTCTAATTCTTTCAATCTAGCTGCAAACGGTGGTTTAAGTACATGAAGAATAATAAACAATCTAGCCTAAAAAGGCAGCTAGAAGAGACATAACTTTTGAACCATAGAAATAACAGAAAAATCTGCATAATCCTCGGGGATCGGTAGTTACCAATACCGATGTCCGGAATAGGAAGGTCTCCTATGTAACTAGCGGTCACATACGGTTGACAAATAACATGGGACTGATGAAAGTCCCCAAAACGCCAGTTTCGCCTTTTACAGTGTATGCAATACTTTTCACTCAATATTTCGTTGAGTAGATGCTTAGTGATTTAGATACTAGTATGTATTCCAAACTTGAAGAGCGAATGCAGTAAAGAAAGGTAGGAGCCGTTGAGGACTTGCTAAAGTTCCGCATCGCCTCCCTGCTCCACCCGGCCCGCTAGGAACCATGACCAGAGCGGATCCATATTGGTCTTGGCTCTTGGATGATTCATATTATCCGTGGCCTCCCGTCTAAAGCCTTCGGACCACCCACCGGCGCATGGATATCAACGAGCCGTAGATGCTGCGCGGAACCTCTGCAGAGTCTCAAACAGGTTAGTGTTAGCCAACCTTGCCTGTAGACCCACCAGCAGACCGCCTGAGGAGCCGTTCGCCGAGGGGCTGCAGCATTTCTCATGCGAGGGCGAGAATGAGGGCTATAAAAAGCCCGAGGCGTCTTCTGAAATTTCCACTCTGCCTCACATCTACTTGACTCTCCTATCATCATGAACAACTTCTTCAGCCACCGCTCCCCGACCAGCAAAGTTGCCTTTGTTGCCGGCGCCAACGGCATCAGTGGTAGCGCGATTATCGACCATCTGGTCAAACAGCCGTACAGGGATTGGTATATCATCCTATCTGTCTATCCTCTCAGTAGGCACACCCTGCTCATTATTGCTCAAGGTCGGAGATTATCATCACGTCGAGAAGCCCGATCAAGGCTGTCTACACCGACCCTAGAGTGCGGTTTGTAGCTATCGACTTTCTCGCACCAGCTGAGGCCATTGTCGAAAATATCAAGGAGTTATGCAAGGGTGTGACCCATGCTTTCTTCACCTCGTACATCCACAACAATGATTTCTCAAAGCTGCATGAGAGGAACGGCCCTCTGTTCCGCAACTTCATTCAAGCAGTAGATCTTGCCTGTCCCAAACTGCAGCGCGTGGTGTTGCAGACTGGAGGAAAGGTAAGATTGCGTACCTAGTTTCACTCCTTCATGGAAAGAAAAGACTGGATTCTGACCGCTGGCAGCACTACGGATTCCAATACAGGGACATCAAAACGCCCCTTGTGGAGGACATGGCTCGCTACGAAGGACCCGAGAACATCTTCTATTACGAGCAGGAAGATGACCTATTCGCTGCCCAGAAGTGCCGTGGCACCTGGAGCTACAACATCATTCGCCCCATGGCCATCATCGGCTACAGCTGCCAATGTGCGTCCAGATCCCTCCGTCTCTCCCTTTCCTCTCTCTCAAATTTTAACCCCGTATAGACCTCGGCATCAACGAAACTCTCCCGATAGCCCAGTACTTCCTCATCCACCGCGAGCTCGGTGAAGCCCCCCGCTGGCCCGGCAACCTGGACAGCTACCACCGTGTCGAGAACCAGTCATACGCCCCGGGCATCGCCGACCTCACTATTTGGGCTGCCACCCAATCCCACTGCAGGAACGAGGCCTTCAATCACGTCAACGGGGACGTGATCGTGTGGAAATTCCTGTGGCACCTACTGGCGCAGTACTTCCAGGTCCCGATGGACAAGTTTGAGGAGCCCACGGAGGCGACGCAGCCGATTGACCTGGTTGAATGGGCCAAGGACAAGAAGCCCGTCTGGGAGCGCATTGTGGCCAAGCACGGCGGTGATGCTGAGGCGTTTCAGCTGGACGCGTTCCAGCTGATGAACTGGTACATCTCGCCCTCGTTGCAGAAGGCTCCCTTTATTAGCACGGTTACCAAGGCGCGTGAGTTTGGCTGGAACCGCAGCGACGAAACCTATCACGCTTGGTTGGGTACCATGCGCGCATATGAGAATGCTGGTGTTCTGCCCCTTCTTCCTTGAGTTCTCGACTAGAATTTACCGAGGGGGCACCATCAATGCCAGAAGGGATATCGGTACCCAATAACCAACCAGTATTGAATCCCATTTTCGTGACGTCTCTAAGGGGACAAATCATTCTTTTTGGCACCCGCGGGACAAAAGATTGCCTGGAAGGAGTTGGAACTAGACCAGAATAAAAGTTTGTTTAACTGGCTAGGCAGTTATTTTCTTTCAGATCATTTCCTGTACTCTTAGTCAATTTACCTTCTGCTCTGTACACCTATAGAAGCACCCAACGGCTACATAGCCTAACCTAGAAGAAACTGCTCTTCTCTGCCCTTTGTCACACATTTAAGCACAACGTGCCCTCGTCCCGTTCAGCCCCTGACACGTTCACCAATGGCTTGATGTTTCCTGGCGCCAGCCCGAGGCTCTCGTTTCTTTATCCTTGACTCCTCATTCCTTCATTTGCCCCATTACCAGTAGAAGCAAGAGCAAGGCCGTAACGACCCGTAAGCTACGTGAGAGTTTATCAAAACAGATGTCGAAGAAAATGTCATCAAGGAAACAATCATGTAAAAGGTGTAAACCGAGACATGGCTGGAATCACCGCGCGGCAAGGGAGTAAGATTTTTTTATCCGCTAAGGCCGTTCTGAATCATGTCCTTAATTCCGTCTTCCGTTGGTCCTGCAGCAAAGTTCAAGGAAGGCCAGTGGTGATGGCATTGCCGTGCAGGACCCTCTCTATTACCGATCAGCTCCACTAAGGGGTTGTGTAACACATACTGCAGATGATGGTGATCTCGGAACTTGTTCGAAAATGCATCTGGACTTGTCGGTTGTAACTCTGGATGGATCCAAACCAGCAGTGATGAGTGGGACCGGTTACAGCACGCCAAGCACGCGGCCCGACAGGCTGGACCCTTGAGGGTCTGTTCCAGGGACCGAATCGGAATGAAGAGGTGGGGATGCTGGTTTTCCGAAGAAAGCAACGATTTCACATTCCTGTACAGAGCTCAGAGTTGGACTTCGGCTTCAACTTCTGCAGGACAGGAATCTGCGGCCGCGGAAGATGACTAAACCGTTTATATAGTTAATCGCCTTTCTTGGCCGATTGATTCATTGCATAAACATTGCATATTCATTCAATTCCTCTTCTTCGAATTGCTCATTTTACTGCTCGTTGGGAGGATCGTCGCTCTCGTAGCCTTGAAGATAGCCATTTAATGAAGCCATTATTACTGTATACAGCAACGTGCTACAGTAATAATGACGGTAACGGCGATAACAACATACAATACTCAGCATACGCACTTGGTGGCGAATATACAGCTTACCCTATGATAAGAGCCCTATAATACAGCCAAAAAAGGAAATTTGCGTGGGGTCTAAGCCTGAATAGCACTAGTAAATCACGTGGGGGTGTCGGTCTAACACGACCCTATTTTAATTTATGTAGTTAAAAAATATCTGTTATATAATTTCAATCACGGAGGCGTTCAACGTAACCCAAATACATAGTGGATCAAAAATCAAGCTAATGCTGTCTCAGCCAATAGGCAAAAGCCCACTCTTGGTGCGGATTTGCTTGACGAATTGGATAAGTCCCACACTTGGCAAATATCCACTTCGGCAGCTGCGGGATTGCGAGACAAACTTCGCTGATCGGACTCATCCTTGAGATTGCCTTCTTCAACCCCTATTGACATGGTTGCCCCTTTCATATGCGGGATCTGTTTTACAGACTTCTCTACCAGCACACATTTGCGTCGACATGAGGAGTCACGTAAGCTTACCTTCCGGCCCTAAACGCGTACTGAGTTGGTCTTAACCTTGCATTCCCAGATTTTCCCGGTTAAAGACATTGTTGCTACTTTTGCGATCGATTGTACCCCCGAAAGTCTGTATAAAATTTCTTTAATCTCGCAGTTACTAACGCAAATTCATACAGATACTGCCCGGCGTCATGCCAAGACATGCGCGAAGAGACGTGGTCGGCCACTCCCACCAACAGAGCAAAGGGGAAAACCGCGAAAATTATATGATCCGTGTGCTCACAACAAGACCTCCTGCGATATAAAATCGCCATGTAGGAACTGTAAAAGCAATGCTAGACCGTATAGTTACAGCCGTATTATGTTTCCCCTCCAGCAAGAGATTACCGAACCGAAAGAGACTCCGTCGCCACCATCCGGGAATGTTCCAGACAGGTTACTGAAAGCTCGCATACCATTCTTACTACGATATTATGATGCCAACAACACAGTTCTAGATCTGATTCCAGCGCTTGAGGCTGGACGGCCAAAGGCTGTTCATTCTTCCAATCTGTTCTCTCATTCAGGCGAGACAGCTAGTGGGCAGTTGAATGTCACAGAGGACTTTTTGGAAGAACCGGGCTTTGAAGAACTCCCTTTCATGTGGAGCAGCAGTATCGAGTTAGACAACTATATGACAACTCAAAGAGCCGAGAGTGTGCCTACTAATCACTAAGAAGGTAACATTCTTTTATTACGCGCTCAAGAGCTGACGCAGAATTTAAAACCCTTTGCCACATGCACCAAGTCCTAGGTCAATTTAGAAAACGCTGTTGACCAAGGTCTATTTTCGGCAACAAATATACACCTGTTTGAATATCTCTACGTGCAGTACTATCACAGACATTGCCCAATTATTTATTTTCTAACCTTTTAAGCTGAATCTGCTACCCTGCCTCTCCTGTTGGCCACATTTTTAGGAGGTTCATTACACTCCTATCCGAGAGATACGTACTCTCTAGCAGTTGATTGCATTGACATTGCGGAGTCTTATATGTTCAGCTTGCCCGTGTTTAACACAGAAATTAAATACACTGCGACCTCCGAGTCGCAGATGTCAGAAAATTACGATTTTCTAAAGGCAGTAGTCATTCTATTACAACTACAAATTGGACGCAACGATCCTGATATCCGTCGAAGGGTGAGATACCGGCGATTTCCAATGCTGGTACATGTGACTTCTTTTCGAATTCCTCCCATGATCACGATTCTAGAGTCAACTGGAAATCTTCCTTGTAACGAACTGATTTTTTTCAAAATCAGTCGCCATTATTGGTAAAATTCCCGCATTCACCTTCTCTTGTTCATGTCATAGATCTCATGGATGGCGCTTGGGATGGGTTTAGTAATCCAGTTTTCAGTAGTATCGGGGTATTTGGACTCTTTACTGTTATATCTGGTTTGTCATCCGATTCAAGAGAACCTCTTCCCAATATTCAGCTACGAACTAATTTTTGGTCAGGGATACATCTAGTGATGTTCTCGGCCTTTGCAAGTCGGATGATCTAACAAAATTTAACCCCTTTGGATCGGGCGTTGTCTAGATGGAAGATACTATGAAAAGAGTTAATCTTCTAAAGTGGCAATGAAGCAGAGATGGGACTAGCTGATTTAATAGCAAGTGCACATGAAATGTGGCTTGTTACCAAGGCTATAATGCGGATTAACTCGGAGGAGTACTTCAGTCTATTTGATGGACAATTCCTGCAACCTTTCAACGAACTATTCCTAAGCATCATCGATATGAAAAATCAACGAGAACGAAAGTTCGACTTTTCGATGTTGATTCCAGCTTGAAATCGTGTCTATCAACGCTTCGACTTTCCGTGAACATTTAGTATTAAACGATAATTGATTGCGGCATAAACGATACCTGCAATATGGATCTCGCACTACGCTCTAGGACTGAAAACGGAGAGGACGGGCCTTCTAGACATTCAAGCAAAGAAGGAAAATATCAAAAAAAGCAGTTCAGAAGCTATTTGCTTGAAGACAAGCTGCAAGACTCTTCAAAGTATGCCGACGGAAAGGTCAGCAGAGAAGCATTGCGTAATTTGACATGGCTCAAGAGATAGTGAACAATTGGAATTGACTAGAGGCTTTTTCAAATAGCTGGGCCTGTGTTCAAAAAGATCAACATCTAACAATAGTTCGCCCAGTAGTGATGTAATCGGATTTTGGAGCTGAAGGTCATTAATAAGTGTGACTGAGATCATGGCAGATGGAATATCTTGGAAAAACCAAGACCATCCTGTGCGTTCCGCCACATTTTCGCGTGGGAAAATACCGATTGGATCAATCTGCAGTGGGATAGATCCTATTGGACTGATGCCTTATAGGCTCGCCACCTCTTTTAAAGTACACCTACCGGATTGTGCCAGATCGGTTCGTGCTTACGCAAAAGGATGATTGTTTCCGCACTAAGGAAACCTAGCATTCTGGTTTGAAACTTACTGTAGGACCATGCTAGGCAATATTTCAAGTTTTGGCCAATCTTTCCTTCTTCTCAGAGAGCCCCATCGTGCGATCTAAATCGTATGTGCATGCCGCAGTGGAGTTTCGGAAGAGGAACCATTTAATGCAAATTATGTATTTAGCATATGTGAAAGGGCCTGTAGCTACATGTCTAATCTTACTGACACAATCAAAATTTCACTCACTAGATACATCAGCGTTGGAGAGTTCGAGTGCCACATGCCAGTCCAGATGCTCAAGTACTCCAGTTGGTGGGATAGACATTTTGCAATGAGGGCAGAGATAGGGTTCCAATTCCAACCCCAGCCCACGCAGGGGTTGGTTGTTCATCAAAGTAGACTTGGTTCTTTCTTCTTCAGATGGCGAATTACTCTCGGGTGGTAAAAGATGGACACCCCCACGATTCCTAGGCAGATCGTCGGTAAGCCGACTCTTTTGAGGGTCATCTGCCAATGTATTGGAAGGTAAATTCGGCGGTGCAGATTTTGTCGTGAAATACGATGAAATGAGACTATCGTGTCGTGAAACTTTTTCAAATCCGGTAATGCGTAGAGATAAACTTCTGCAAGGCCAACTGTTCTCTTCCACAACCATCTTAGTGAGTAGATCATGGGCAATGTTGAACAAGGATTTCTCGGTTATCGAGGTTGATCTTGAAATAGTGACCTGCTTGGAGCGAGTAGGGCCAAAGCGGCCCTCTGTGAGGTGATTTAAAGTCATTATAGTGGGACGGACTTGATGGTTCTCAGCGCCTAACTCGGCAAGGCGGCCCAGTATATCTGCAACGAAAATGCGAAGCCATTTTGTCGCCTGCTCGACTGAAACGATTTTGGGCACGAATGTTTTGGCGGAGAGCATTGACTGGACGTGTGTTCGAGGGTTGACCTCACTTTGTTCTTCGCCACGTATAATCTTGAAAATCCACTCCCCTTTCTCTGGTCCCATAGCTCCTTTCATCTGTGACAGAGAAACATGGAGGAGCTCTGAGATCATGTCTGTCTTTAAAGTTTCAACGACTTGGGCACCCAAAATCCCTCCAAGACCACGGATCTCGGGGAATTTGTGCGCGGAGAGAAATTCACAAGTTCCTCGGCGCAAGATGATTGTCTGGTGATTCGGCTTTTTGTGTGCGCTTGCAAGTTTTGCCAACATCTTATTATGAGCTATACCAGCTGAGCAGGTATACTTCATCTGTCCATATATTTCTCGTCTTAAGTTGTGCACAATCTCCGACCCAATGCGCAGAGACATATCATCCCAGTCCAGATGATCATGTGCTGTATCGGCTCCAAACACAGAGTCTGCATCCCAATCTGAAACAGACGTCCTTGGTAAAGGCAGAAATTCATTTACTGACAAAGATTCCACGTCCAGCAAGGCCGAGTATCGCTGTAGCATGATGCCGTGAACTTGTGCGGAGAGATCGATGAACATCTCATCCACACTGGCCTTTTCGACAATTTGTGGGGGGGTGTGTGGTAATGTTCTTTTAACTAGCTCAAGACCCTTTCGTGACTCTAAGCGGTATGGATCTAGGGCAGCCTTGTCGGTGCCCGGTGTGATGGTAGCTGCAGGTCTGTATGCCCAGGTATCACATCCCTCTCTCCACGTTGGAACATGTTGTAGAATGATATTCGGACATTTCGATCTACCTTCTTTGACCGAGATGGCCCGGGCGAGACCATATCTCCTGGCTGGATAGTTCAACGCGATAATGGCATTCCATTGCTGTACACCCAAAGGCACGTCTGAAGGAATTCCAAGTCGCACACTCTCGCATTGGGCATAAAACGAATCATAGTCAATCAGGGCAATCACACGAAGGGGAGATTTAGGAGACGACTGGGCCAAAAGAGAGAGGTCATGTCGGGTAAATTGCGAGGTGACATTGTGATTTTGTCCCATGGCTCTAAGCGGAAGTCTTGGTTGTTCAGGGATGCGATGCCTCGCCAAAGAGTAATCGCATGAAAACTGCTGCACCGACACCCGTCCACCACTACACAGTAGGTTCCAAAATTTAGGCTCGAGTCCTAAACCGATCGATCTCGATCCGCTTGCGGCTGACATCATGCCATTTTCGCCACCCGATCTAGCATCCCCGAATTTACGAGGGGATTGTTTAAGAGCGCTAAGTGACAGAGGGAAAACTACAATAATGCCCTCAACCACCCAAAGAAAAATTCAAAGAAAATATATTGTTCGCGCCACTCGAAACGCCGCTTCGATGGCCCCTATCTTGAAGGCGCAAAAGCCACGCACACGGAATTTAAGACTGCCCGTTCATGATGTCGCTAAAACCGCGAATCTCACTTCGAAAGTGAAGATCAAACCGGAGAAGAAAATCGCACATTACAAAAAATTTACTACGAGCTCCCCCTTCCCCGGTTTCAAACGTCCATCTCCACAAGAGTGTCGGGAGGCACATCGTATCCTATCAGCGTCTCATGGAGAACGTGACCCTACCGCCACGACTGTGATGAATGCTGATGGAATGGATCGTCCTACCGTCTTCGCAGATCCGTTGGATGGGCTTGTTTACGCCATATTATGCCAAGCCACCAATGAGCGCAACGCAATTCGACAGGTCCAGGCCATGATCGAGGAATACGGGTCATGGACCGATTACCACGCTATCAGCGAGAGGGGCGAGAGCAAGCTTCAAGATGCACTCTCCTGCGGTGGCCTTCATGTTAGGAAGGCTAAATTCATCATGTCTCTCCTACGACAAGTCAAAAGTAGACATGGTGTCTATAGCTTGAATCATCTCTGGCCGCTTGAAGATGAACAGGTGATGGAGGAGTTCCTTAGCTATAACGGGGTCGGTCCTAAGACGGCTAGTTGTGTGATTGCTTTGACTTTGAATAGGCAGAAGTTCGTCGTGGACACACATATCTATCGTATCACTGGCTTTCTGGGATGGAGGCCAATACATGCAACGCCGGAACAAGCTCGTGCACACCTTGAAAGGAAGATACCCGATGAGTTCAAGTATTCTCTTCATCTGTTGTTTATCACACATGGACGGGAGTGTCCTGAATGCAAGGCCGGGTCCAAGTCAACAGGGAGTTGTCGTCTTCGGAAAGCGTTTCGTGACCTCATGCCAGATTCAGCAAGCTAGCTCTTTTTGTTAGCTTCTCATTTTCGTTTTTCGCTTGGACACTCATCCCTTGGGGCGTTCTCAGCTAGTTACATAACTAAAATCGTCATTGTGACTTTCAAAAGTCAGTCATTGACTACAACAGTAACGGCAACAGTTAGTGGATCTTTTACAGTTCTTTCCGGTACTTTGTTTCTGTTTATAACAACTGAAGATTCGATATTCTTTCATGCAGAAATCCTTTAGCATAGCCGGTAATTCTTCTATTACAGGGCTTCGCTTTCAACCAGGTAGCTCAATATTTGCGTTTACACATTCGCAGGATTAAAATATTAAACCAATAACTTCTTGTTGACTTTAAAATTATAGATGTATTTATTTATCATCAACTCATACACAGCAAAAGAACGTTTAATATTGTAAAGACCATTTAAACCATTCACAAGACTTGTATTTCTTGTTGGCAACCAAAGAAAAATCAAAAGCAATGAATATAATATCTCTTTTATTTCCTCGAAAGTCGAGACTAAAAATCCCTATATATTCTATCGATAGCTTGACTCATTAATTTCAAGTTTCCCTCACCTGTGCTTTTAGTAACCATAGTTCGGTAATAAAAATAGCTACTACAGAACGCAAAATGAAAATTATTCAATAGATCGAGATAGAAGCTAAATGTATATACTATTTATGCCTATCTAATACTTCTCTCATCCTACCTTATAATCTTACATTATGATGTATAAACTACTATAAATTAGCGCGATCAGATGCCTTCAACCAATCATCACACCTTGTATAATCGCCCGTCCGAATATCCCCTCCGCTCTATATATACTCACAAACGGCATTAAAATATACTACTCCAGAACCTAGGAGCTAGACCTAGCTAGCTACCTCTATAATAATACTCCCTATCTTCTCACCATAACTTCGCCTACAGGCCCAGTTGAATATTCTGTCCTCCACCTAACAAAGAAAGGCAGATACCTTAACTATTGAAATCTAACGTGTTACGACTACGCCAGATCTTGGGACCTGGCATCGGGCCATGCCTAATGTACAGTCGGTCTCGAAATCCCTCTGACCTTTGTAGCAGAACTGCGAGTACATCCCAATGCATTTACAATTCTGACGAGCTTTCGAGGCCTTTGATTCCAGAAATGAAATCTTGGTGTGGTGATCAGTGATCCTTCCTAGAATGATAAATTTTCAAAACAAACTTTGACAATGCCGACTCGTGTGACAAATCCCGGCAGACGTTTCCTCTAATATTTTCTGCGCGTGTATTAAGCTCTGTTTATCTCTCTCCATGTTTCCATATCTTCTTCCGAGTTTAAAATTGGTAGAGACAATATTAAGTAGTAGGAGCTTTCTCCCCAGTATAATAGAACCATAGGAGATCTAAATTCTGGAGATATTGAGTCTAACACTCTTTTCAGGGCTCTTACCCGTCAATTATGTCTCTTCTCCCGGACATCATGTTTCTTCTTCCGACCGGAGAGCCGCCGGGAAGAAATTGAATTAGAGCGTGGTACGTGAATGCCTAGGGGACTTGAGGCTGTCAAAGGAACAATGGTACACACCTACCTAACTTTCCGCCGCACAATAACTATCCATTAGGTGTTGACCGGAAGCGGAATGAGAAGGTGTTGTGGCCAGTTTCTCGGAAACTCGGCGCCTAGATCAACGCCGGATGTGGGGGTTAGGGGCAATGAACCATGTAGATGATCTGGCGATCTCTGCAAATACGTAGATACCTCTCTAGAGCCTGCAGGGTCTTCCAGCGATCTTTTCCATCTGCACACACCATGTGACGCAGTGCGGAAGTTTGGGAGAGACCTCCACGGAAATCGGCACGTCCAGTCATCCAGTCATCCAGTCATCCAGTCATCCAGACAATGATGTGATCTACGAGGGATCTGTGTTCTGCACATCTATGTTTCCCATCAAGATATCCCTATTCTTGACCGCCACCCATACAACCCGGCACAGGCCTCCGAGCACCTGATCGTTACTATTTAAATCCCGAAGGAAACCCAGCTGAAAATCTAGCATCATTCAGCGATCATTACACTCATCCCGACACCATAACATTGCTTATTCCGCACCAACGTACTACCTATCATGGCCTATGAACATCAGAACCCCGGGAAACGGACAATGGCCAACGTCCTGGACAATCTGGCTAGGGTGTGCCCGGCCAGGGCGGTTTGCAAGACCCCCAATGGCCACCATCAGGCCGATGGTCTCTCGAAGGTAACCATGGGAGAGCTTTACAAGGCGGTTGACTCAACCGCCTCTCTCATCGAGCAATCCATGGATAAGGCAAGGACGAGGTCGTGCTTTACATTGGAGACAACGACGTCCGGTACCTAGTGGTGGTGGTGGCTTGCCAGAAGACCGGCTACAAAGCACTTTCCTTTTTTTTTTTGTTCTGGTAGCCAACACAGGTACTGACCAAGCGACTCTAGCCTTTTCTGCCGTCGGTGAAAAACTCCACGGATGTGCTGGCTGCGCTCCTGGGGGGAATGGAGTGCTCGGTCATTTTTTTCAGCTCTTCCTACAAAGACCACGCGCAGCGTTTGGGGAAGTCTTTGAGAGCTGGCAACCCGGCCTTGATCGAGGTGCCCACCTTCGAGAAGATGTTTGCCAACTATTCTGGCAACTTCCCTTATGACACGCCATACCAGGCGATTGAGGACCAGAGCGCCATCATCATCCACAGCTCCGGTACAACAGGTGTTCCCAAGCCCATCTTCCTCACGCACGGGTTCCTAGGAACCATGGACAAACAGACCTATTTGTCCCTCCCCGAAGGCAGGCATTCAGCCATCCCCAACCGGCTCAGTCGCGACGACCTGTTCCTCTCCACGGCCCCATTCTTCCACCTCATGGGCATCTTCGCCCAGCTCATGTCCATTTTCAACGGCACTCCATTCGTCTACCCGCCTCCAACCACCACCCCCCTCACCGTCGACGCGCTGGTCCAGGTAATCGAGACCGCACACCCCACCGTCGCTGTCATCACCCCTTCCCTAGTCGAAGCAACCTGTCGATCTCCCTCCGCCATGCAAACTCTTTCAACCCTACGCATAGTCTGCATCGGTGGGGCGCCCCTCGCGCCAGAAATTGGCGCTGTCCTGAACGAGAACACGAACCTTGTCTCCGTCATGGGCTCCAGCGAGCTTGGCCTCGTGCCCTCCCTCGTCCCAGGAAACAAGGAGGACTGGGAGTATTTTGAGTGGAACCCATACTATGGCGTGCGCATGGACGCTTGCAGCGAAGATAAAAACGACAACCTTTACGAGTTGGTAATTCCTCGCGGCGAAACAAGAGACATTCACGGCATCTTCCACACCTTCCCGCACCTCACGACCGAATACCGCGCAAAGGATCTCTTCAGCCGCCACCCGACACGGCCAAACCTGTGGAAGTACGAGGGCCGCCTTGACGATACCATCATCTTGAATGACGGGACCAAGATCAACCCCGTCCCAATGGAAAAGGCTATCGAGAACCACCCTCTAGTGTCGCGGGCGGTGGTCATCGGGCATCGTCGATCGCGCACTGCGGTTCTTGTCGAGCCCGCGCCACAACAACCAGAGGGGTCGGAATCGTTCCGGGATAGCACAAATTCCGGGGATGAAGGCTCCTCCGTGTCCGCATTCGCAAGCTCGATCTGGCCAGCTATTGAGCAGGCGAACAAGCTGGTGCCGAAGGGGGCAGGGATTGGAATCATGCGAATTGGGCTGGCATCGGCAGACAAGCAGTTTCGCACAACCCCCAAGGGCAGCACGCAGCGGAGAATGGTATTGGAGGACTATGATGAAGAAATTGGAAGACTATACGCGCGGGAAGAGTATTGGTACAATTTCCTGTGCAATGGTTAAAAGATAGATTTGGATTTTACATGAGAAAATTTACCTAGCTGTCTAGATACAGGCACTCTTCTGGATTTACTACCGTGAAGGCATAAGCTCGCCTTGTATAGTTGACGTCCACCCGGTAGTCTAGTCTAATCGGCATCAATTGAAGCCTACAGGAGACATATGCTAATTGACATGCACACAGTTTGACACTCTTCTAGATTCATCCAACGTGCAGCGCTCTCAAGCTCGGCAGCGAGACAACGGTCATGTGATGACGAAAGATTGTTGGAGCATAGGGGCGTACCCTTCCGCCTACCCTGGGGTTCGACACACTCCTCGGTCATTCTAAGCACCGTGCTTAGAATAGAATTACAAGAGCTCTTTCGAATACTCATATCTAGTTCTCATTCCGGGCACCGTGTCCGGGATCAGGGACGACCGCCCACTGCCAGCCACACCCAACCCGACTGCTACCTACACGCGCCGACGCGTCGCTGTGATGGCAACAGACAAACCCCAACCAGGCGGGCTTCTACAAGCTGCACTACTGGAGACAACTACCGCAGCCTCTACTAGGGTTGCTGAGGGCCAGAGGATTTTTAGCCCGATAGCAGCCTTTCTGACAAATACCGGAGCCAGTCAGGCCTTGCTCCCCACCAGCGAGACGCGCTAGACGCGTTCAGCAACGACCTGGCTGATATAGCCTAACGATACTTTAACGCCTATATCAGCGGTATTCCCTTGACCTTGACTACACCCTCCCCTGCCCCTGCCTCTGCCTCTCTCCCCCTTTCTCCCTCCCCCCATCTCGCCACCCCTCCGGTCTTGCTCAGTCGACGTACGCAACAGCTACTTAAACAACTAATGCCAAAGGCCCTGACACACCTAAGCCCAATACCAAGCTAAAAACTACAATCCCTGCTCTGAATCAGCAGCCTGACTCCCGCCTCTTTGTACGCCTCCCGCCAAATCACACTGCCCAAAATATGGACGCATACGCTATTTATACTAGCCTCCGTTCCCATCTGGGTGCCAATAACAAGGTACCCAAGGGTATCCAATCTATTAAGACTGGAGTTGATTCCTATCTTCATCCTCTGAAACTCTTGCAGCCCTAGAGGCACAGAAAGAGACTATCTCTACCTTTTCGATACCTGCCAGATCGAGCGTAGCTCCCGCTGGATCTCCTACCGAGTAACAAATATACCGAGAAAGGTCGGCCAGCTTAGTGCAAGACAATACTCCATAGTCCCTGTTAACCCGGAGATACTATCAGCTGAAGTGGTTGAAGCTACTGGCCTTACTCCAGTTGCTGTAACTGAAATTGCTGTTGGTACTTCTAATAGAAATACAATCTCTTCAAGCTGGTTTATCAACTTCCCTGAAGAAAGCAAGGCCAAGTTACCTATACGACTATCATTGTTTGGTATGATTACTAACGCCTAACCCTTATCTAGAAAGGTTAAGACCTTGTAATGCAACCGCTACTAGAAGTAGCATAATTCCAGATCTTGTGCACGCAATTCTCGCTGCCGCCTCTGCGGCTCTATACAACACACTGAAGAAGGTTACACCAATTACTGCGGTACTGCAGTTCCCTATACCTGCCCCCCAAGATGCCTACACTGCCATGGTCCCCACCCAGCAGACTATGACCTATGCCTTCTCCGGCCCAGCAAGCCAGGTTCTCGTTTCACAAAGGTCCAGCAGGCTGAGACCCGTAAGACCTGCTCCTTAACCTTCTCTAAGGCACGGATTGAGAGTAAATGCTGCTTCCGGCCCCCCGCAGCCCCTGCAACCCCTGGGGACTCGCAAGATCAGGATATAACTATCAACAGCTATCCTACAATTTTCTATCCCGCTCAGTTACTCCTCTTCAATAAGGAATAGCAGACTCCCCTCCCGTTACAGCTAAGGCAGTACGTTTTGGTATATTACTACTACAATATCAGTTTGGAATTTCAATGAATGAAAAATATAAAATTCTAGAATTACTATCAGATATTGTTTTCCTCCAAATTTCTGGACGCTCAGAGCAATCTACCCTAATTTTTAATATTTACAATGCTTCCACTGCTGGATCCTCGATCAGACCTGGCAGGGCCGTGCAGGAACTTATTAAATTTCTTGACTCTTACTTTACCCAGCTGACCTTACTAGCAGGTAACCTCAATCTGCTACATAATAGATGGCAGCTTCGCTCCAGCGAGATCCCTCCACTTTAGCCGAGCAAGTATCAGCCAGTATCCGAATGGCTCGACAGGTTTAAACTAGTGTTTATCTCCGAGATAGATACCCCTACACACGACAAAGGCAATACTATCGATCTAACCTTTGCATCTAGTACTCTTGCTCTTGCTGGAGCAAATACTAGAGCTACAGATTACTTAGATGCTACATTAGACTACCGCCCTTTCCTCACTACTCTTCCATGAGGTCAGCGACACCCCAAGACCTTACAAAGACTGAAATTCAGTACCTTAGATCTCTCCCGTTTTTGCAGTCTCTTGGCCCTGACCTCAGGGGGGAGACCAACTGTAGTAAAACCTAGAGTGCAAAGAAGCACTCCAGAAATACCGCATTGAATCTTATACAAAAAAGGATTTCCGGCGGGTAGTTCGACATGCCCAACGGGAATACTAGAAAAACAAAATAAATGCAATTACTACAAGCAAATTTGAGATGTTCAAGTAACATAGGACAATAGAACCCTACCGGAGCCCACCAATAAAGGACCCTCTACAACCTGACTGCCCCCCAGCAGTTGGTGCACAAGAAAAACGTGATATCCTAGTCCGAAACCTCTTCCAGAATTCTACTGAAGCAGGAGAAATATCATTAGATACACCTGCAATATATCTAGATCTCTGGCATTCCCGGACATATCAACGGCGCAGGTAGAGAAAGCAGTTTTGCATGCAGGCAATACAACTCCAGGAAGTGATAAACTTTCTACCAGCATACTAAAGGCAGCATGGCCCCTGATCAAAGACAGAATGCTAGCACTCTATCAAGGATATTTATCAACTGATTACCACCCTCAATGCTTCTGCCACGCTGTTCTGGCTATCATCCAAAAGCCAAATAAGGCAGACTGGGCGAATCCCAGGTCGTACAGACCAATTGCCCTCCTCTCAGTTCTAGGCAAAGGCCTCGAACGTCTGATAGCACGGAATATGGCATAGATTGCTATTTCTTATAACGTTCTTGCTAGCTAACAGTTTGGGGCCTTACCTTTTCGCTCTGCTGTTGATCTTACTACCTGCCTGCTGCATGATGTAGAGCAAACCCTAAATTAGGGCAAGACAGCCTCCCTTTTAACTTTCGATATCAAAGGGGCATTTGATAGGGTTCTTCCTGGCAGACTGGTGCACAGATTACGCACGCAAGGCTGGCCTGATAATCTAGTCCGCTGGGTAACTTCCTTTATCACGGATCGTACAGTTTAAATCCGACTAGATAAAGAACTAGGGCCTAAGATTAGGATATTCTGTGGCTTACTACAAGGCTCGCCGATATCCCCTATCCTGTTTATGCTCTTTCTGGCCCCTCTATTCTGGATGGGCAATCTAAAGGCTAGATTCGGTTACACAGATGATGGAGCTTTCCTAGCAACATCCTTGTCCCTAGAGACAAATGCTCAGAACCTATCAGGGTCCCTGCAGGAAGCCCTAGACTGGGATCTTACACAGGGAATTACTTTCGCATCAGTTAAATATGAGCATGGCCCCGCTTGTCATCCGAAGAGAAAACATCGATACAGGCCCAACTAGATGGCATGTTCAGACGGCTCCGAAGCATTTCCCAAGACGAGGGAGCTCCGATAGGAGGAATCTGCGGAGAGGGAGCCAAAGAACTCCGGGTCGACGAGTGCGCCCTATTCCAAGGTATCACAACCAGCCACGCATATAGCGATTTGCAATTCTCCGCTCGTCATCATGGTAGCAAATCCTACGTGAAGTATCTCCGCTCTCCGTTAGCGCACGAATACCCGACTCTAGGTCACGGATCTATCTTCACACACGGGGATATTCGGCCCGCCAATATCATGGTGAAGGAAGAACCCGATGCAGGCGGATACACTATCACCAGGATCATTGACTGGGAGAACAGCGGGTTTTATCCCCCATACTCCGAATGCACCGCCTTGACACGAACCTTGAGCGTGACTGACGACGATGATTGGTTTTCATACTTGCCAGCAAGCGTCGGTCCGTCGCAGTTCCCCATACGTTGGCTGGTTGATCGGCTTTGGCAGACTCACCTTAAGACGATAGTATCTAGTTGGGTCTAGAATCGAACTTGACAGTAGAATAAATATTAACCATCATCTCTCGAATAATCGCATTAGTCATTGTGTCACACTCGAGCTGATCAAATAGCCTTCGGAATGGCCTTCATGGTGAGGGCACAGTTTCAGTTGAGAAGTGGGACCGATCATTAACTTACTCCGTGTACAATGTTATCATCATCGATCTAAGGGATGATGCCGGGCGCCCACGTTCCGGCGGGGGCAAAACGGCGAGCCCTGAGCCCTAAAACTCTGCGCGGGTTGCCTCTTCCGGCGCCCAGACCGTTTGCAGGCCGGGAGTGCCTGAGGAATCTGGCGACCAAGAGGATCTTGGCAAGGCTTGGTGGCGCCGCGACCCACTCTTTGCTGAGTCTTCTTTTCCTTCTTTTTTTTTTTTTTTTCTTTTTTTTTCCTTCCTGGAGGCACAGTGGAAAACGGGTTCCGCCAGACGATGAATTGCCCGACAGACAGCCATCAGCTCACCAACAGACTCGTGCAATGCTCTCTGCCATGCTAGCTCACTCTAGTTATCTGCATCTTACACTGTGACCGATTGATCTAGCGTGACTTTATCGCCGTTCCCTTTACATAATAGTTTGCCTCGGGTGGGCTTTTGCCGCCACTTCGGCTCAACTGCTCCGTCGGACGGGTTCCATTGCAGAAGAGGAAAAGAAGGAAAAGGAAAAAAAAAAAAAAAAAAAAAAAAGAAGAAAAGTCTTTCTTTTTCTCTGAGTCAAACCCCTCTTTGTTGACGTCTCCATCTTGACACTTCCTTCCTCCCCTCTCTATCTCAGTCTACCCCTCTATCCTACAGACTTCATCCGGCCCAACATGGCCCCCGACGAGGTCACCGAGGCGCCTCAGGTCGAAATCTCCGCCGCTGATCCTCCATCCTCGGGAAAAGGAAAGTTCGGCATCAAGGCCCTTGGCAAGAAGGACAAGTCCGCAAACGCAAACGCACACGAGCATGACGTGGAAAAGGAGGGCATGGGAGGCGACACTCCCCAGCCGGAGCTGCAACGGAAGCTGAAGAGCAGACACTTGCAGATGATTGCCATCGGTAGGCGATGATCCCGTCCAATTTGATTTGCACCTCGATACTGACAGCTCAGGTGGAACGATTGGAACTGGTCTCTTCATCAGCAGTGGAACGGCTATCGCGGAGGCCGGTCCGGCCGGTGCCCTGATCGCCTACATCTTCGTTGGAACTATCGTCTATTCGGTTATGACCTCGCTGGGCGAGGTCGCGACCTACATCCCCATCCCCGGATCGTTCACGACCTACGCCACGCGCCTGGTGGACCCGAGCTTGGGTTTCGCAATGGGTTGGATATACTGGTTTAATTGGGCATCGACCTTTGCTGTGGAATTAACGGCAACGGGTGTGATCATTCAGTTTTGGGACAAAGACCTATCGATTGCCATCTTTATCGCGATATTCTGGGTCTTGATCTCGCTTATCAATTATCTTCCGGTGGGATTCTACGGAGAGCTGGAGTTCTGGTTCTCCATAATCAAGGTCATTACAGTTCTGGGCTTCATGATCTTTGCCATCTGTATCGATGCTGGCGTCGGACAGCAAGGGTATATCGGGTTCAAATATTACCATACCCCCGGTGCCTTTGCTCCTTATCTGATCGAGAACAAAGATGCGACGGCCAAATTCGTCGGTTTCTGGGCCGTGTTGATCCAGGCCGGCTTCTCCTACCAGGGTACCGAACTTGTTGGTGTCGCAGCCGGCGAGACGGAGAACCCCCAGGTCACCGTTCCTTCCGCCATCCGCAAGACCTTCATCCGGATTCTCGTCTTTTTCGTGCTCACCATCTTCTTTATCGGTCTTCTGGTCCCCTACGATAACCCGAACCTGATCACCGACACCAATGACGCGTCGGCTTCCCCCATGGTGATTGCTGCTAATCTGGCTGGCGTAAAGGTCTTGCCACATATCATCAACGCCGTGCTTCTCACCGTGGTCTTGTCCGCCGCTAACTCCAACGTCTACAGCGGCAGTCGTGTGCTCCTGGGTCTCGCGCAGGAGGGCTTCGCTCCCAAGATCTTCGGCTGGGTCACCAAGAAGGGTGTTCCTTGGGTTAGTGTCACTTTCACCGCGCTCTTCGGTCTCCTGGCGTTTATGAATGTCTCCACTTCCGGTGGTACCGTCTTCAACTGGCTCGTCAACATCTCTGGAGTTGCCGGGTTCATCTGCTGGCTCTCGATCAACATGAGTCACATCGCATTCATGCGCGCGCTCAAGGCCCGCGATCTGTCGCGCGACACGCTGCCCTACAAGGCCATCTGGCAGCCGTGGCTGGCCTACTACGGCTTATTCTTCAACACTCTCATCATCCTGACGCAGGGATTCACCGCGTGGATCCCTACCTTCAACGTCTCCGATTTCTGGGTCGCCTATATCTGTCCCATTCTGTTCGTCATTCTCTATCTCGGCCACAAGCTCATCTACCGCACTTCCTTCGTGGACCCCTTGCAGGCGGATCTGGACACCGGCCGACTGCAGAATTACTCGTGGGAGACCTCGACTCCCAAGACGTGGCAGGAGCGCATCCGGGAGAGAATTTAATGTCCATCGGCGGATGCACGAGTTCGATATATGGGGTATGTGTAATGATGCGAAGCTGATGCATTATGGAGTTTGGGTTCTTAATTATACCGTTCGATTGTTGCATGGCTTAGTCGAATATCCAGCACTTGTATAGTATTGAAGAGTTGTTAATATTAGATCTTTACCAAAAGTCATTCAGCAGAATTTTTTTTGATTTCGATTAACTCAGGATTTAAAACGCTCATCAATTGGCAAAGACCCCGTGACCCATGCACGGGCGTCGAGAAAGTCATTCATGATTTCGTTACACCATTTCATCCATCCATCCTTCTATCCTTCCATCATTGCCAACCAAATCCATCAATAAATATAGACGAATTCGTCATTCTCCCGGTCCGTCAGATCATTGAAGGCATTTCTGCCCAGTTCTGTCCCCTCTTCTCCGGCCTCCTCCGCCACATCTTCAGTAACCTCATACCCCGTCTGCATCGACCGATCCACAATCTTCGCTGGCTTCCCGTTCCTCACTCGTCGCTTCTCTTGCATCTTATTCAACACCCACAGATTCGCCCACTGGATAAAAACAACCGCCACCATCGCCACAAAGATCCCCAAACAAGCACGCAGTCCGGGAAGATACGCCGGTGCATCGTTGTCGCTGAAGAGAAGCGGGCCAACAATATTACCTGCGGCAGCAGCAGCGTTGAAGAATGACATGATGATCGATTTCTTGGTCGTACCCGCAGTATTACCGACGATCCACGTCACGATGAGCGGGTTGCCTCCGAACAGGAACGACAGGAGATAGTACCCGGCCATCAGGGCCCCTTGCTGGCTCCCTCCTCTAGGGACCGCGTAGAGGATCGCGAGGCCCGCCACAACAGGAAGCATGAAGCTGGCCAGGACGACGGACTTCAACGCGGCTTTCTGGGCCAGCCAGCTAGAAAATAAAATGATGATGAACTGCAACGCACCGAAGGGCATGTTCAACAGGGTGGTTTTGAATTTGTCGAATCCGAGACCCGAAATGATCAGTGGTCCGAAGACGTTGGTTACCGATGCGCCTACGTTGAGGAGAAACGCGGCCGCGATCCAGAGGTAGGTCTTCGGTTCCAGGCCGGCTTCGACGACTTGGTAGGCTTTGAATTCTCGGCTGCCGCTGCCGGTCTGGTTGGCGCGGAGACGCTCCATCGCTTGTAGTTTCTCTTGTTCGTCGAGGAATCGGGCGGAGGGGATGTCGTTATCGAGCTTCCAGTACATGATAGGAGTGGAGATGACGGTGATAAGTCCGCAAACGAGGAACAGTCTAGTAAGTCAGTTTGAGATTTTCTGGGCTTCGGAGTGAGCATAATGACTTACAACTGCCATTCATTTAAAGGACCAGACTGCACATGCCCCAGTCCATACGATAGGATCGCAGCGAGGATAGTCGCAAGCCCATTGGTACTGTACCAAGCTGCCACCCGCAAGGGCTGCTCTGCACGACGATACCACTGGCTAGTGATGATACTAAACAAGGGAAGACACCCCGCCTCAAAGAGACCGAGCAAGAAGCGAGTAGCCATGAGGCCCTCGAAGCTGTGACAGGCTGCCATAGCCGCTTGCGCGATACCCCAACCCGCGGCCAGCACGGGCATGAGAATGCGATGGGGTACTTTGACAATCAGATAGGACGAGAAAGGCTGCCAGGCCAGCTGGGCGATGGGAGCAATCGATCCGACTAGGGAGTATTGGTTCCCGGTGAGATTGGCATCTTCTTTGAGACCAAAGTTTGCTCCGTAGCCGAGTACAGATTTGTCAAGAATCTGCATCAGGTACGTCCAGCAGAGGATGACCAGGATGATGGAGTCGGTCTTTCTTCGGATCCGCTTGTTATCATCTTCGGTTAAGGGTACACGAATATCTTGTATCTGGTTGATATCCGCTGGCTTCATGGGATCCTCATTGTGCGCGACATTTGGCTTATTCCCTGCCATGATGAACGATGAACGATGAACGATGAACGCGATAATAAAGTTGATGGGAACTCGTCTCTCAACAGCCATGGGAATGCCTGATATATCGGAAAGAGTAGTATCTGACGTCTGGCACCCCCACGCATTTTGGGGACGCCGCTGGCATAGCGAGTCGAACGAATGGCAGGTCATACGGCGACCAGGATCTTCAAAGTTTGGCGATCGTCAGCCAATATGGAGCCATCCCCGTACTTCCCCCGCAACCCGTGTGCCCCCACGGGGGCCCCCGCGTGGGACAACTACACCGAGAGGGGATCGGGAAACACGAGCTGGAGAGGGCAATGCTAGCCGAGGCCCGTGCTTGTAGCTAGACGAGCTGTCAGTGCCACTACTCGGTGGGATTTCTCATTCGATTCCGATCACTGAAGGCCGGGGAGTTTCTACATGGTAAGCAACCGGTTTATCGAGGTGATATTGTTGACTAATAGGATTGTATTCACAAAGCTCACCATGTGAGAACGTCATCGATTTTCAGGCTCAACGATCGAAAGATCCGCATAATGGTCTTTGCTAAGTCGCGTCGCAAAACCAGTCTACTCCAGCTCACTCAACAGGCGCCGGATTCCTTCTTTTGAAATCATCACAAATCTCCTCCATGGTCACAAACTCCACCCCATCATGCGATTTGAAATACTCGATAAGTCTATGTCTGTTAGCCATTCCGCATTCCAAAATCTCTCAAATACATACCGTTCATGCATCAAAATCACCTGCGGCCTGCCCGAAACATCCGGATGGATGGAAATCGGAAACACAAACTGATCGTACTCACGATAGAAATAATCGAAATGATCCCGCCAGATATCTTCAACATCTCGCGGGTTCACGAACCCATGACTATTTGGCGCCGACTTGATGAACATCATCGGGGGCAAATCATCAATGTACCAATTTCCCGGGATTTCGACTAGATCTGTCACCTTGCCCGGCACCAGCGGCTTCATCCATGTTTCTGCCTTCTGAGTGTAGTCAATCTTGGTCCATTGGTCTCCTGTGCGGAGGTAATACGCCTGGCAGTCATGATGGCTCAGACTGTGGTCATATTCAACGCCATATTCCCGAAGCATCGCCACGCCTTCCGCGTCGGTTTCCCACCTGCACCATTAGCACAACCGACATCACTGTCTGCAAGAAAATGGATAGCAACCCACCAAGGCGCAACGCTCCCCCTCGGCTTCTTCCCCGTGAACTCCGTCAACAAGTCAACCGTCTTCTTCAAAACATCCCTTTGCTGCTCCCGGGACATATCCACCGGATTCTCATGCGAATAACCATGCAGTCCAATTTCATGTCCCGCATCTCTAACTCTCGCCATGTCTTCGGGAAACGATTCGATACTATGTCCGGTTATGAACCAGGTTGTACGAATATCGTATTTCTTAAACATCTTGAGCAGACGCTCCGTTCCGACCGTCGCGGCCCAGATGCCCCGGCTGATGTCATTGGGGCTGTCCTCGCCGCCGTAGGAGCCCAGCCAGCCAGCCACGGCATCGACGTCGACACCGTAGGATATGAGGACGCGTTTGGGGGACATAGTGGTAGTGAGTTGTGTAGAAAAGGTTGCGATTGGAAACCCCGCAGGATGTCCAGAGGACTTAAATGATGCCGCTGATCAGTTTTTTTTGATAAGATATCGCGGGTTTCCCGTTTCGGCACCATCTCCATACTCCACCCCGCAGCTCAACCCTCCAGTGTGGAGGCAACGAACGATAAGCTGCTCTTGTTGATATAATTCTGTGGATATCGGACAAGCCTATGGCCCTATAGCTATAGCCGTGAATACAGCCCTTATCCTGAGTTTTTTGACAATTATATTTGTGGACTGGATTGTATCGCGCAATCAGGTTAATAGATTCATTCAATCTTGAAGATCAATACGGAGTACTACACAACAGCACAATCATCCAGCACGCACAAACACATTGCAGAAGCTGCCCACTCGATGCTATATCCTACTCGATAACACAATCATTACCACTTTCTTATCTCCCATTCTTATACCTAATCCTCAACTGAGCTCAAAAGTCAAAGTCTTGGCATTTCGGGGAGACTTGGAGACGCTTCCCGATTCGGAAGAGCCCTCGGAGATGGGGGGCACAATCTCAACATTCAGACTTTGATTTCTAATCGTCTCCAACCGGACCCTATATTTCCACTTTTCAGTCAGAATGCCAGATAACCTATTTGTCGAGTCACTATGGTCCCAGACTACGGAGTATGGGACCCTGTGGACTGTGGAAGGAAGGAATTGGTTCCTCCGTGGTGTGGCGATGACAAAGCAATAGGCAGTTGGAGATAGAAAATTCGAGCAAATGTATGAGGCCTCATATATGCCTTAACGGGTGGATATAAAGCGTTGGTGCCGGGAACCGTTTTTCTGGGTACTGCAGAGTCATTGAAGAATTCCATTCCATCACATATATTAAAGAGATTTTGATACACATACACACACACACACTTATACTCAATTCACCATACCCCAACCAACCAACCAAGACAATCAACATTTCCTCTTCACCATGTCTTCATATTTATCTTCATCTTCTCCCTCCCCCCTCTCCCAAAGCCGACTCTTCACCCCCCTCCGCATCGGCCCAATAACCCTCTCCCACCGAGTCATCATGGCACCACTAACCCGTCTCCGCGCCACCTCAACACACATCCCGCTCCCAATCGCAGAAACATACTACACCCAACGAGCCTCCATCCCAGGAACGCTCCTCATCGCCGAAGCAACCATGATCTCGCCCTCCGGGTCCGGCGTCCCGCACGCCCCAGGGATCTGGACCCCGGAACAGATCACCTGCTGGAAACGCGTGACCGACGCCGTGCACGCCAAAGGTAGCTACATAATCCTGCAACTCGTCGCCCTAGGACGCGCCGCGGACGCAGCCACCCTCAAGGCCGAAACAGGGCGGTCGGTGTCCGCGCCGAGCGCGATCCCGATGGCCTCAGGCGCGACGGTGCCCGTGGCGCTATCAGAGGCGGAGATCTGTGACCTGATTCGCGATTTTGCCACCGCGGGCAAGAATGCCATGAAGGCGGGGTTTGACGGCGTGGAGGTGCACGGCGCGAACGGGTACCTGGTGGATCTGTTCACGCAAGACGTGAGTAATCAGCGGACGGATGGTTGGGGAGGAAGTATTGAGAAGCGGGCACGGTTCGGGATCGAGGTTGCAAGGGCGCTGAGCGAGGCGATCGGGCCCGAGCGGGTCGGGTTCCGGATCAGTCCGTGGAATACGTGGCAGGGGATGAAGATGGCAGAGCCGGAGGGGCAGTTCACGTATCTCGTGAGGAAGCTGAGGGAGCTGGGGCTGGGATATCTGCATGTGATCGAGTCGCGGGTCATTAACAATGTGGACTGCGAGAAGAGTGAAGGCATCGAGCCGTTTTTGGAGGCGTGGGGACGTGAGAAGCCGGTTCTTGTGGCCGGAGGGTATAATCAGCAGAATGCGGGCGATGTCGATACTGTGTATCAGGATAATGAGGTCGGGGTTGTGTTTGGGAGGCATTTCCTGGCGAATCCGGATCTTCCGTTCCGGTTGAAGAATGGCATTCCCTTGCAGAAGTATGATCGGGAAACGTTCTATACTCCTATGCAGGTTGAGGGATATCTGGATTATCCGTTTAGCGCGGAGTTTGAGGCGAGTTTGAAGAACTGAAGAGTTGGCTTTGTTTTGATGGACCGTCGAGTGGATTTTAGAAATAGAATATCGTTTTTAGCTGAATAGAGATGTCAATTGATTCTTTCGAACAGAAATGCTAGTATGCAGCAATGCACCAAGAAAAAGTTAATTGTTCGGAAGGTCAGCCATGAAAATGAACACTCATCTTCCTTTAACCGGACATCTGCAGCTGCGCGTATCTTTCAAGGCTCTCCCCAAGAATGTTGATGAACTTCCACTGCGAATTCTGCTTGAAAAACCGAGACCATATGCCCAAAACTGCGGCAGCCAATTCAGCTGGTTCGCGCCCAGGCACCTCCCCCTCGGCGGTATCCATAGAATCATAAGCTTCCTCGACAACCAAGCGGGCCCATCGAATGATGCGCTTCTCGTTTGCTAGACGCCGCCGTTAGCTGATTTAGACCTGGATGTACGGAGCGAAAACTGACTGTTGAGTGTTCCATTCTGGTCCACAGCCACAGCCCGGAGCCACTTGCTCAGAAGAATCACACATTCGAAGCTCGCTAACGCATGTCGCACACTCCAGAAGAAGGCTTGGCTTTTTGCAATATAATCTAGTCCCAGCCGGACAGGAACGCTCACAGTATGGATGGCATAGATCAGGGCCGGGGTCAAGCGAGCACACCGCCAAACTGGCGGCAGGTCGCTCAACGCTTTTGCGATGATATCCGGATCTCGACTCTCGAGTCGCTTGTACGGGCCAATATTCAGCGATAGTCTGACGTATGCCATGGCAAGCAAAGAGCTTGAAGTGAACGGAATGGGCCCGTTCTCATTTGAAGGGTCTAGGTTGGACTCAGGTGCCTGCTGCCACATGGTTGACCACAGGTTCAATGCTCGTCTGAATTATGTTAGCGTCGTTTTCACCCCAACAGAAAGGACATACTCAAGCCGGTTCAGTTCGTCACTGGGCAAAAGTGCCGCAGAGTCGCCCAGATCGACAGCCAGTTCTCGAACTATGTGAATCCGTTGGAGGAGGCCGTGGAGAATATAGTAGCTTCCTAAAGGCGATGGCGTTGGATCAATAACGCTGACTGAGTCTGTATCCCGTAGCAGTTGGGATACTGCATGATGATAAAAAGCTTGCTTCCTATCAATCAACTTCATGATCACATCCCAGTCGTAAGGATTGGTCGCATTCCAAAGCTTCGTCGGACAGGGAAGATGTAGCTTCACTTCATTATTCCTGATGGTGGGATACAGATTGTAGGCAACGCTGTGAACCTGCGTAAAGAAAATAGCAGCCAGTTTGGTCCGGCGGATGGTCTCCTGTAGTATCCAGCTCCGCCAATTCAATTGGCCTTGCTCGGTATTATCCTGATCTGTTTCATCAAGGCCTGAGGTCCTCAGTATGGAAATGAGAAGGTCTCGAAGCTGAAAGGCATCTTGGAGATAGCTCCCACATTCCCATGTCGAGTATCCCATCAGAACAAGCAGGGTGCGGATAAGATCGATTTCTGACATATTATCAATACCTCGGCCGTTTTTCGTCGGCTCAGAGATCCCCGTGTTTCTCCGGTCTCTGAATGTAGGATCGATTTTCTGTAAGACGATCGCCTTGGCCGCAGTAAAGAACCTTTGTGCATTCTGATGCTCGAACCGGTACTGAGCTCCAGCCGCCATCATGGCCAGCATGAACTCAGGTGACTGGTCATTTAATCGAAACGTCGGTAAATGGATAAACAGCAAATGGTTATGAAATCCCTGGAAGAAGCTAGTTATATACCGGGTCAGAGTGTGCCGTGAGGGGAGTCTAAAGTTTGGCAGGATGTCTTTGTAAGTCTCCAAGAGAGACATGAGATAAGACCTGTTGTACTCATCAACTCGGATGGTAGAGCTATTATCGCCTACGTGATAGGAATCTATGAAATCGAGTTAGTTTACGCTATTGAGAGGGTACGGATCAAGGGAAGGATCTCGACTGGACCGCACCAGCATCATGAAAAGCGTACTCTCCGTGTCCCAAAGATGGGACAGAGGGCAACCAAGACTTGAAAGGGCTATCGTCGCTATGGCTCTCTCCTGGCGCGTGTGGTTCGGAGCTGAGAGCATCGAGGCCTTCCAGAGGACTTTCGATTTCTAGATCTAAGGGCGCCCAATCGGCCGGGAACCCGATTAGATCTAGAAAGTTTGCGAAATCGTCAAAGGGATCAAAACTGTCCTGCGGCAAGGGAGCTTGCGCTTCTGGAACATGTTAGAAGGAAAGGCTTGATCCATATTGCAAAGAGTATTGTTACGGGATTTGGTAAGATTTGGAGGAATCCCTGTCTGGCCAAGATCCTGAGGCGGCGCAACCCCTAGGCTGTGCTCGCCAACGGGTTTGACAGCAGGACCTGTAGTATCATGTGTTCTCGGAAGCCGCGCATTAGAGGTAGGAGAAGAGCTGTTCGGTGACTCTACAGCCGGACGAGACGATTTTGACTCGGGTTGACCTGGAAACACGTGGGGAATGAACGTGTTGTGCGGTGTTCTCGATGCCGAATTGGCCGAATCTAGAAGCTCCTCATCTGGATGATTGATCTTTGTATGACGTTTCAGAAGGTCCTTGCGCGTAAATGAAGCCCCACACGAACAACGAAAGGGCTTTTCCTTCGTATCTGCTTAAGTTAATGACCCGGTACTTTGTAGAGATTCTTCGAATCGAGACCACTTACGTATGCGCTGATGTCGCTCCAAATGCTCCTTCCTTGCGAAGCGTCTGTGGCAGAAGTCGCAAACACACCTGAGTCTTCCACTTCGGAGCTGAGTTAGAGTATTATTGGAGCTCATAGTTGCATGGGCACAGCTGTGACAATGCAAGAGTGGGAGCGTTGAGGGAATCTGATGGACGTCTCCAACGTCTCCAACGAGGGCCGATGACTAATCATCCTGCGTCATGGGCTCTCTTTTCGGAATGTAGTCGCCATGACTACTCTTAGATGGCCATATTATTCCATTCTCACAGCGGAACGACTAAGAAACCGAGATATGAAGGAGCCCATGGAAGCCATTAACAGCCACGGACCGACTCATCGAGAAATGTGGATGCCCAAGGCAATAATCAGACACTAGTCCGAATCGGGAAGGAGGCATGTACAACCTCAGTCTAACTCGTTTGGGCAACTCCTTCGGAGGCATATAGTTCCAAATACTGTCGGCTGGATTCACAAGATTATTTGTTAAAGATCAAGTGAATTCATGAAGTATAAGCCCTTCAATTATGGATGGTACTCGATGTTGCCCTGAAGTGGCATTCACCCAACATGTGAGGGAATATTGAGAGTCAATGCCGGTGTGTCACTGTAGCCTACCAAGGCAAGATTTTGTGAAGGCCATTGCAAAGATTGCTTAGTGACAACATCAGTACTTCACCTTTGCATCGTCTTCGGTGAATGCGTAGAACTGCCGCCTACCTACCTCAAAGCTTCCAACTCCTGCTTCTCTTTCCTACCCACTACCCATCTGCACTCAACACCATCACCACCATCATCATCATCATCATCAAACATCCACACGATGACCGTGAGCGGATGATCGCTCATACCAAAAAGTCTCAAGACAAATACCGTGATTTTTCTCAAGGGTATTGATGATATCCGGGCCTCTATGCGTGTCAACAGCCGCTTTAAGGAATACAACAAGCAACGGCTAGAGCTCCTCGGCGTAGCCATGGCCGGCGTTCAGGTCGTGGTGACACTCCCGATGGACGTTGAAGAAATGCTTCGTCGGGGTTTGGACCCTCAATTCGTCATCTTCGACGAGGCTAGTTTTTCCGGGACCCTGACCTTTACTACATCCTATGTCAGTTGAACCAGAATGTGCGCGTGATGTTTGTGGGCGACCCCAAACAGCTGTCGCCCCCTGTCTTCACTCAGCAGGGGGAGAAGGCCTGGCAAGCCTCAGCCTTCGAGCATCTGGTCTCGAAGAAAGTATCACCAGACATTGCTGAACGTCTCCTATCGTTCCCATCGGATCCTCAATCAGCCGACATCAGTGGCCTAATATGACGGCAAGGTCCTGACGTTCCGCGACAAGCCCAGGGTCGACGTCCCGACGTCCCGCTGAACGCGGCAAACCCTCTCGTGGCGCAACTTGGAAACGATAGATGACATCTGGTGGGGCTCTCGCAGTTCGTTCACCTTGCACACGTCAAAGGTGAGACCAAGACGGATCCCTCGGGGTCCATGTATCACCCGCGAGAAGCCAATCTTGGGGTGGCCCTGGCCAAGACGCTGGTGAACAAGGGGGCTAAGGATATATTGTTTGCATCGCCTTACCGGTCCAAGTGGCTCAGGTCAAAAGGGCTTGGGAGAAGAACTATCCCAGGTGCCTTGTCCGCCCAAGGGTCTAAACCGTGGATGGTTCGCAGGGTTCGGAAGCGGAATTCATCATCGTTCTGATAACCCGCAATGCTGGTGCGCCGGGCTTCCTCAAGTCGACCAAGCGGACCATACTAGCCCAGTTTATTGTCGGCGATTGGACCTGGATCGGTGGCAGTACTTTCTCCAAGGACTCGAAGAAAGTTTATAAGTACTTGGAGGAGGCTGAGAACATCGTGGAGAATCGGGCCTATGTCATCAGCCCAAAAAAGGTGTAGATTCGCCGAGCGATTCGGCCCCACCAATCGACGACTTGCCTTACCTACTTATGGGAAGCCATAGACCTGCATGTATTGATAAGATATTAAAGTCTTCATATTGGGACCACACGAGTTGTGAGCCCGCCCACGAATTACACGCCATTACGGCCCACTACGGTCCGTAGCACCGGGCGAAGCACTACAGCCCTAACCAATTGACCGCAAAAGGGCATGTGAGGGTAAAATATTACCATTGGGCATTTGACTTCGCTGTGTGGTCGGCCAAGACAACCAGGTCAATAACTTCCTGCATAACGGGATGCAGGGAGGAGGAGGTCCGGCAGCCGTATGATCTGCCGCCAAAGTTCTGTTATCGTAGCGATCACCAGGTAACCTACCTGCTTTCAGCACCGCCTAAAGCTGCTACTGTGCGCCAATGCAGCGTCTGGTGGCCTTTCGATTTAATACAGAACAGGAGTATTAAAAGAACACGTTTCGTCGACGCTTTGACTAATACTGTCACAGCCCTGACCTGGGTCAGGTCAATAACCCTGGAGCAGCCAACGGCGACGACCGATACTCACCACCTCCGGCACAACCCCAACAGGTGCTAGATCCCCGGGTGATTGATATGGTCGGAGCTATCACACGTCCGGAAGGAGGTCAGGGACCGTAACAGCCTCAGGGACCACAGCAACCTCAGGGACCCCAGTAACCGCTAGATCCCCAGTAGGGTCAGCCACCGATCGATGTCCAGCAGGGTTAACAACCCGACGTGATGGACCTAGACTATCAAGTCCTTTCGGTCCCGCCTCCTCCCATGGGGCCTTGGCAACCGCGGCGCCGACGAGTCCAGCTTCCCCAACAGATAAATGTCCCCCGATTCAGGGTCACCGATGTCCCCCCGCATGTCTATTTCATCGACTACAAATATGTCCTTGTCGGCACGTATGCCCCAGATGGGGATCCGACTCAAGCGTTGTCTTGATCTACATGCCTGCTGCGGAGCATCGATATCCCGGATCCGGATGAATTGTTCGATGATGTGTATGTACAGTTGCTCGTGAAGTATATACAGGAGTGTAGGAATATATAATCACTGCACTCCGCCAAGCTCGAAAGACAAAGAGCTCGTAGGACGGCTATACCGGCGACCGATCGGTCATCTCATTCAACGGGACCAGATGATACTGACCTGACCGAGACTTCCGCCGACAGCACCCCCAACATCGATACATCCCGACAAGTATACCGATGACGACAGTGGAGAAGGCAACCCCCACGATCCAGCTGTGCAGGTTGAGAAGACGGTCTTCGTCTGAGGCCTGTTCGATTTGAACGACGTCGGTGACGCCGAGCATTTTCCCGTCGCGATCGAGGGCCGCGAGTCGGAACAAGGGCCGAGCGAGATCTTCGGGAATTTCGATCTCCGTCTCGAAACCTGTCTTTTCGAATTGTGCGACAACCGTGAAGCTGGCCTTGTTGTAGTCCTCCGAGTCCCAGACTTCCATCCTCCATGCGAAAACCTCGGTGGCCCCGTTCCAGCTGACATAGACATGGTCACCGATGACCTCGGCGTTCGGCGTGGTCTGCGGATGGCCCACCCAAGACGCCTTGAAGTCACGGTAGGAGACCACGCGTCCGAAGTTGAAAAAGGCTGACGCGGCGAAATGCACATTGCAGAGCATATCTCCGTCAGCACTGTACTCCGTGAAAGCGGCGCTGTGTCCCCAGCCCACCAGAATCCTGCCCGTGTCATCGAGGAGCTGCACATTCCCCTGCGACTTAGAGAGCACCTGCTGAGGGTGGTAGTAGGCTCCGAGCAAGGTGGCTGTGCGTTTGGCAATGTCCAACTGGATAACCATACCGCGACTCTCACTGACGGGATCGGTTTCTGAGTGGGCTGCGTTATCGAAGAGAGTGACGGTATCGTTGGCATGCCAGCGCGCATCGTGTTGCCAGGAGAACCCGGTCGCGTCGCCGTCAGACAAATCAGTGAAGTTGTTGGCCTTTCCACCGAGAGTCCACAGGATAGCCCCGGTGTTTCGATCAATACAGGTGATTGTATGTGTGTGGCGCCCGGAGATGATATAATTCCCGTCGTCCGTTTTGTCGACGCTGTTGATGTGAAAGAAATCGAAGGCCTTGGCGCGCTCTCTTCCCTCGGCGCCGAGGGGCTCGTAAGTGCTATTGATCGGAATATGTTTAGACGCGCGCCATTCAAAAAGCAGCTCGCCGGTTTCAATATCGAGCTCTTGGAAAACCGCATCGAAAATCCACCCTAATTCGGGCCCTCCAACGGCGCTTAAGTCAACGGGGGTAGGATCGTATACCGACACCAGGGCGGTTCCATCCCGACTGATTGTAAACTCGTGCAGATCGCCGCCGTAGTTACCGACCGGGTTCAGAACGTATCTCTGGGTGTAGGTATTGTCGAGCTAAACGGTCAGATAGGCTTGTCTTAAACAGGGTCGAGTGACGACCTACCATGTACCACGTTCCATACCCCCGGCCAGCGATTTGACCACCCTCCCAGTAGGTGATAAAATCCTCGCCCCTGTATCTTTGAATTTTGAAGTCCTGCGTGGTGCCCCAGTTCCATTTTGCCCAAACCAATTCTCCCTGCGAGTCGAGGATCATCGGACCCGGATTCGCGACACTATCTCCACGCGGAGCAATCAACATGTAGCGCGGGTCGCATCCTGATCCCCATTCGGAGATCTCGACGACGGGGGATTCGTAGTCATAAGAGGCATAGCTTCTGGAGGGACCAAAACCGTAGAGTCCCAAATCATAAGTGGTCAGATCGGCTCGGAGTCGCAAGCGATAAAGATGAGGGACGACGAAGATGTAGAACAAATAGATCAAACTGATCACAGCCCCGACCGTGGTAACCTGAAAACAGGACGGCCTTGACCGGCGACGGAGGCATTGAGAAATCCAAGTCCAACAGGACATTGGGACATGGCTAGACGGAGCAGGTGATGTGAAACTTCAGAGGCACGAAGAAGAACCCGGGAAACATTTATTTGACCAGGAACCCCTCGGAGATAACGCAGCCAAGTCGATCGTTTTCGTATCCCTTCTGCCCCCTCTCCAGCTCAGCTACTCAGGAGTGTTCCAAGAGGTGCCAAGATCAGCAATCCACGCGGTTTCATGTCGATAATCCATCCGGGCGGATACGCATGGAGCGCAGCAGGAGGGATCTCGACGCTGTGATTCGGCCTGCAGACCTGTTCTCCGGACCCGCCAAGCCATCGCCGTGGATCCGAGCGATAAACGGCGTTGAGAAAGGAAAGGCGACGACGACAAAACTCCATTGGGGAGTAAACCTGCTCAGCTCCACCGCCACTGTCCAATGCGCGCAGTGTCTGCAGTGCCCGGGACGTCGGCCGTTGATCCAGACGAGGGATGCCAATCATTATGGAGATTGAACAGGAAGTAGGACGATATCCGTCGACTATTAATTCGACTTGGCAACCTGATTCAGGAAGACTGGGGTGACTTGAAAAAAATGAACGAATGATGAGTCCTAGCGTCGGTCTAGAAGGACTAGAAGAGTTCTCCGTGGTTGAGTCTTCCACAGTCGGCTAAAACGGCAACGTGACCTCTTGCCTTCTTTCCGCCGCCCTTAACGACGCGTCGACCACTCTGTCCCTTTATCTGGCTTCTGGAATCAACTTCATCCCCTTCGATCGTCTGTGAATCCCCCCACGAACACGGAATAAATCATTGCCAGTCGCGTCCTCCTTTCTCCCCCGCCAATCCCTTCCGCATCGGCGCAAGAGATTCAGGAGTGGTGGGTCGGCGTCATCAATGTGCGTTTCTGTGCCTGCGCCAACTCCACCTTCTAGAACGCTCATCATTGGCGTCGGATCTAGGTGGGTCGAGGTCGGCAAGAGGATGGAATCCGCCAGCCGGACAGGGATGACAACGGAGCCACCTGCCAAGAACAATTCCTTGCTCACGGTTCTTATCGGCCATTGAGACCGGGTCACCACAGTTGGGTCTCTGGGCAGGCTCGCTACCGGTCTAGGATACCATACTTGGCCTAGACTTGGGTTACACCTTTCTACCTTCCTGCGCCGCAGAGAGAAGTGCGACTTATTGCACATTTGGGAGTCGAATCTGATGACGTCACCCATATACGACGCCTCCTTTTTTCCGTTGACAGAGGCGGTGCATCACATTTGTAGCATCCGCGGAAGACAGGCCTCACAAAGAGGGAGTCTGGGATTATGGGGCTCCCGCATTAGGTATCCAGCAGACATATGGTTTTCGGCAACTCTGTAGTTGCTGTCCAACAGGATGTCCAGACAGAATAAACACAACGACGGGTATTATTTTATGTAAGGAATAAGAATACTATCCATCAGTAGGTCCGTCATGATGGTATACCTACCCCCTTTGTCTAGATCTAAGTCCATTAACCCCGAATTTAGTATTATTAGTGTTATGTTTTGGGAAACTCAGGCTAAGGGCAACATTGCAAGTTATGACTGATATCTCATAATTACACAGATCACTTGGTACTCAGTCATGTAACATATAAGTATTCGAGTAAGTCGAGCCACCAACTTATTGAAGAAAGAATAACCTTGAGATTGAATCAGGAGAACTCCGGCAAAGGTCCCTTGAACAACGCAGGGCCCAGACAATGTTAGCCGACACTGTAAATACAAGCACCAGCTTTCGGCCTCCTCTACATTATTGACCGGGGATCACGGTGAAAGGGCGGGTCCTTCATTTTGCGGGTTTTCTTCAACATGAGCTCACGCACTTCGGCCAGTGTAAAAGACACTGTTCCGTTTATCTCTTGTGGCTCGGCAACTAGCCCCTTCGCTCGAATATAACGAACACAGGACGCGGGCCGTTTGCCGCCAGTGAATCGGAGAATTGCTTGTGCTCAATCGGCCATAATATTGGCTGTCTGCGGTGCCTGACGATAGTAAAAGTAAAAGGTATGTGGGTAGATGTGAATTCAATCATCCATGAGCCCGACTGCAAGACAGTGTTGCAGGTAGCGACTGAGCATGGAAATCTAGCCATTGTGGACAGGCTATTAGCTGCAGGGGCAGATGTGAAATTCGCCAATGCCCGAGCGTCAGGGACATTGCTACAAAGCGCTGTGAGGCGTGGACGTCGAGATATTGCGGAAAGACTCCTGGCGGCAGGGGCAGATGTTAATACAATTGCTCATGGGTCTACACACCAGTCAACACTGCAGACAGCGACCGAGCTTGGAAGTCTGACCATGGTGGACAAACTCTTCGCCGGTGGGGGAGATGCGGATTACAGCGTCACCAGATCTGGCTGAGGGCGATGCCGCACTGCATATACCGTAGCCGCTCCACTTACTGTGGAAATTTCACCATCGTGGACAGGTTTTTTTTAGGTGCAGGGGCAGATGTCAGTGCCATCGTTTATGGGGATATCTCCTTTGCCGACGGTGATAAATACTGGCCTGTTCTCCTCTCCCTTACAAACAAAATGCTCCCATATCTCTCTGTGCAATCAAAAAATATAGATCCCAAAAAGAAAACAAAAACATACAACAGCCATACTATGGCGATGCCCACCTAGCGCCCATCGTTCGGTGCTGGGCGGCTCGCCGCTTTACGCAATCGGCCTTCAGGCGGGTTCGGGCGGCTTCAGGCGGCAGTTCACCCACCTGAATATTCTTCACCCAGAGAGGTGAAGCCCTGCCCCCAAATGTGCTTTTGTACACTTTCATCAAGGGAAAGATTTCGCGATGCGGGAGCAGACACCATGTCCTTCCCTTCCAGGCATTTGCCGCCAGTTGCACTCACCCTCTTTCATTTCCCTTCCACTTCATTCCTATCCCTCTGCCGTTTCCATCTTGCTTCGAGTCAAAGGCAATCATGACGAGGAAAGACCCACTGCTGACTTACACCCGGAACGTGGTAAACTTGAGTGATTTCGATAACGCCGAAATCAGACGGGCAGTCCTGCCGCGTACAGAGAGCGACTATGAGCGCGCACTAAGCATCTTTGATAAGTTAGTGTGCAGCTCTGTATAAAATTTCCCAAATTGACAATTCTCTAGATTTCTTGAGCTGCACCCCGACGCCAAAAACCCCCCGGACCTCCAGACCTGCAAAGGCTTCCTCGTGTGGGCTGCTAAGGGGAAACATGGCCGAATCGAGGCTTTGCCCACTGTGGAAACCATTCAGGGATTCCGGAGGGACTTTCAGGCCGGGATGTTACATATACGAGATGTCGAATTTTCCAAGGAGTTTTCCACCACACTTAAAGAGGTTTGAAATGCAATCCGCGATATAATACCTCTCGTGGTACATACCTAATTAGTTTACTTAGTTCGTTATCAAAGGGCTGCGGGAGAAAGTCCCAATTTCCACCGCTGAAATGGACCATGGTGGGCTTTCACCCAACGATATCATCATCCTCTTGACACAGCTCTGGTGTCGAGACAGCCACTAGTTTCGTGGTGAGATCCCTGACAGAACAAGAGTGCAACTAAGTGCGGCAATGCTGCTCTATTGCTTTACATCTGCAAGGACAGGGGAAGTTCACGAGTCCACAGCTCGAAGAGCCTTGGCAAGAAAGCCTGGAGAAGATACAAGTGATGCAGGGCTGGAGGCTCGTGTGATGGCGGCATGCTACAAGGTGAAATTCGAAGGTAGACAAACAATATATTTCGGAGCTAACTTGTCTATCAGCACTTTGCACTCACCATTGAGAGTGTGGATAAGGAGCCGATGCTGGTTTTTACCTATGAGCGAAGATTTGTGAAGGGGCATTAGAGGAAGAAGGCACGGGATATTCCAGTCCATGCTTTCTATGAAACCTACAGGGAGGACGTATCCCTTTTCCTGAATTTGCTCACATTCTTCTTGCCAATGGCATCCGCGGATAACGCCTTCCGAGATTACTCATCAGTGGGAGAAATCTTGGATCAGGCTGACGCTTACGCTAAGGCTACTCCGTCGGAGAACAAGGTCCTGGAAGTTATTCATTTCGCAGAGAGAATTCATGAGACGCCAGTCTTCCGGCCGTACAGAGAGCTTCACGTGGACAAGTCCACAGGCAAAGCTCGAGGAGCAGATGCCTTCGGAAAGGAGTTTGTTGAACTAGGTCACCGCAGTGGCTACACGCGAAATATCACGATTCGTGCCTGCCGCAGATGGGCACTTATGCAAGCAGGTAGAAGCAACAAGCAGGACATGGAAGGGAACAAGTCAGCTTTGCTAACAGTGACACAGACAAAGCTCATTCAGAGTCTGCAAGGATGAGATTCGCGGGGCAGACTAACCGAGATACTTACGGGAGGTTCTATGCCCATCCGGTTAGTGAAATAGATGGACCAGCAAACTACCTTGGGATTGCAAGCCGAAGTGAGCATATTGAAAACCGCCGCGGAATGGGAATTTATCAGAATTCGCGCCTCTTCCAATCTCTTCCCGCGAAGGCAGAGTTCGAGTTCCTGGATCGAAGTGATATCATGTCTCTGGACGAAGAAATGCGCTCGCTAAGCGCACAACTATTATCTGCTACGATGCCTGATGAAAAACATGGGATTCAAATCAAGCAAAAGCTCGTATACAGCAACAAGCAACGGCTTTATAAAGAGGAGCTGAAGAGGCTTAGAGTCGCCCAATCAAATAAGCCTCTAGGCTCTAATGAGAACCAGGTCAACATAGAGAAGGAGACTCTTTTCTCCTACAGGCGGAGGGTTATGCCACAGAGAGACCTTTTAGCCAATACCTTTCCTAGCAAGGTTTCTTTGCGACATCACGATGGGAGACGAGCCCTGAAAGCACTAGAATTTATCTGCAAGGATACATGCTCTGTTGCATATCGTGCCACTCTCCAGCCCGAGGATGGAAAATGTTCTTTGTGGAAAATCAATCAATGAGTGAGTCTTATTAAATTAATTATAATCAATCGCTAATTACCTTAGATTCCAGCTACATAGAAAGTGGCTACACCTCTACCGATGCCACAAACGGAGCCGCATTAATAGTGGATGTGGTATTGCAGAAATGTGCTTTGAATGTGACCGCTGGTTCACAACGTCCTGGGAATGTGAGGATCATTGCCATGAACATCTTGAGAATCCCGATGGGCTACTTCGATGTGACCCTTTGATATTCCGCAACGCCCCTATTAAGGCAGGTTTTTGTCCTTTTTGCTTGGGAAACAGAAAGCGTCTTCCGTCAAAGCGAATGATCCAATTTGTGGTCAGTTCCTCAGAGTGATACTCCCACATCGAAGATCACTTAAGAGAGCTAGAAGGAAACTTCCGTTGTGAGCACCCAGCTTGTTCACTAAAGTTTGAAAACTTGGAGGCATTGACCTATCACCTTATGGACACACACTGCTGGCGGCCTCGACGCGAATCTCCTAAAAAGAGGAAGTTTGAGCTTGAGGACACTCCTTGATTGGGCATTCAACGAGAAGATCTGGTCGTGAAGGTGCTAGGATTGCTTTCTTGTCTTGATTTACTCTAGCTATCCGCTCAACTAATGACCTGGGGCTCTGGCAGACTAAAGGACGCGATATAATAATGCTATTGCCCTATTATTTCGAATTTGCCTCTGGTTATATTAGCTAAGCTGCAGCTCTGCCGCTATATGTACCTATCATCCTAGACCCTATACATTTGTTTTCTTACACAAGCACCAATCAACTACTTTATTCCCTCATTAACTGTCTACTAAAGGCCCCCCAAAGGCCTGATAGCTAACGAGGGTCGGTTTTTCTCCTTGCGAGCAGCCCGTGCTTGCAAAGAGACAGACTCAACAGCATATCGAAACTCTCTTCGACCTTAGAATGGAAAATGTCTGTGTGGAAAATCAATGGGAGAGTTCGTTTTGAACTGCCAGAATAATTTCTGTAAACGGCGGAAACGGCGGACCTGTGAATTACTAGATCTGGTTAGTTTTGCCTTTTTAGGTTTATCGCTCCTATACGCCGGCACGTAATCTCCTCTTAGACCGCCCGACATAAGGACCCGACTTTGCCCTCTTCCGTTCTCCGTTTCTCTTTCACTTCACTCTCTATCCCCTCTATCTCGAACTCATCGTCGCCCCCTTTCTTTCTTTCCCGCCCCCACCGGCCCCCTACGTCTTGGCCTTTAGCCCGACGCACTAGCCCTTTTATTTCGTCGGAGATATCGGTCAATCGTTCTCGCCCTGTAGCCCAGAAGCAATAGCCTAGGAGCACAATCTCTAGAATAATCTAGCCTGTAGCTATATCGTGTGATTTCGTGTCGATACTTGTCGGGAATAGTAGTGGTAGATAAGAGAAATAGATGCCTTAAGGTCCTAGATTTTAGGCCGTCCTAAGAGCATGAATTTATTCTTCCTACCCACCTGTGAGGTCAGCTAGTACTGCAGCGTAATAGCTGGCCTAGGAGATAGAAATAATAGAGAGATATAGATAATAGAAGCTCTCTAGCCTGCCCTTTAGAAGAGAGAAAGGGTAGTGAGAGGTAAATTAAGATGAAAGCTCTTGTTTTATTCAGTCTGGGTCATGAGCTGTACCTATAGACAGAAAATGAGGCATTTTTCTCCTATATCGACGACATTATAGAGAATGTCATGATACTTGACTATGTTGTAGCAATGCTATGTCGCGCGAATGGCATCTAGTAGTCGCCGCAGAGCACGAGGTCTAGTGCCAAATTATTGACATTAAGACGTCCGGGCGGTTCGCATTGCAAAAATGTACATATCAAGTAGCTTCTGTTACCACACTTGAACGCCCTGTACGCCCCGGAGGTGCCATTATTCGTATTCGGCTACATTTCTCTTCCTCAAACCCTTTTTACAACATCTGCTAGGTCCAATGTCTTCCCACCTTTCCGTTATCGATGTCGAAAACCCATTCTTGCCGGACATATTCTAGCGATCGCATTAAGTCCTCTCGGCCCAGCTTGGACTCCACCAGAACCGATCCCAAAAGGCTCGAGTCGACTGCATCGGGCGGCGGGATATATTGTCCGGGTTCAAAGAGATTTTGATGTAGCGAGATTCTATCCATGAGCCATGGCTTCACCTTGCGAAGTCGGATGGCGGGGTCGGGTGACCTGAGAATGCCGCTTGTCTCAGGCAAAAAGTTCAGAACCGCCATCGAGTGCTGGACCTCCCTGGAAAAAGGCACCGCCAGGACTCTGAACCTCTCTTCATCCAAGATTGCACGAAGCACGTGGAGCACGTAATAATCCACGCCGTGAGTCCAAGTACTGCCTTAGAGGGAGAAATACCCGGAAGGTCGAGGGTTAGCCTCAATCATGAATACACGGGGTTTCAGACCCTTGCTACTAGGGTTGTCTTCCAGATCCGTTACGCCATCCCGTTCGACATATTTCACAGCCGAATTTCGCATGCGAGCCTCACAGTGGAAAACTCCAGTTCGAAATCCCATGCGGAGCACTGAATCCCGCAAAGACTGGTAGAGCAGATTCTGTTCATGCTGAGGCAGCATGGACGGATATACGTAGACGGTATCATGGAAATCGGTCTGATCGGTCTGCTCGTCCATGTCCCCATGGCAAGGGAGGTCGTCCGAGATGTCCGCAAACACAATCTCGCCGTCCCAAAGAGCCAAATTGACATCGACTTCCGGTCCATCGACATAGGGTTCGATCACAACACTGGGCCGGATTGGCTCGTCTCCTTGATTCCCCAAGACTCTGGAGTGGGCCTTGCGCACTGCAGCGAGAAGCTCGCCGTCGTTGCGTGCCTTGGTCACCCCGAGACTGGATCAACCCATGCACGGCTTGACCACAACCGGGTACTGAACCTCGAGAGGTTTCCAAGGATCTCGCAAGCGCCGTTCCAACTCATCGCTGTCGGTGACGCGAATCACTCCGGAATGCTCGGCCTCGAGCATCCATGTAGCGTACTTGTCGGTTGCAATCGCAAACGCTGCAGCGGGGCTAGAGGGGAGTCCGAGAATCTCAGCCGCTTCTGCGACGTGGGTGGAATAGAAGTCGTATCGAGTAATGATTCCATCCAAATTCAGGTTCTGTACGATGTCCACAATGCGTTGTGGGAGCCTATCGTCGACATTGAGATCGAGCCGGTAGAAGGCCTCGCGCAGGTACGCATATGGGCCCTTCGGATCCTCTAGGAAATGCCCAGGTCGGTCGAGAACTATCAGGTCCACGCCCAGAGATCGAATAGCCTCATAGGTCAGGATCTCACGCGGGCAATGAACCAACGCCAGCCTCTTTCGGAGGATCTTACTTTTGACAAGGAATTGCGGCGCGAGCCGGTATTGAACTTGATCCTCGAGGGCGTCTATCGTATGATCGACGAATTCAAAACCGGACGAGTCGACGAGGACCGCGCCAATGCAGGCGGACAAGATATTATAGAGCTGAAAATGCTCACTCCTGGATTTTACGGTGGGAAACTGCTCGACGTACTGGAGCGGTTGAATAAAATCCCTCGCCAAGGCAACGCAAGGGCAGCCGTGCATACGGAGCTCAATGAAGTCCGATCGTGCTATGTAGCCATTTTGGATGGGCAGTACCAGTTTGATGCTAATGGGATTCGACGAGGCTCGGTCTGCCCTGATGGCGTTGTCGACGAAGTCACAAATGCTCGTACTGTGGGGTCCGAGACTTTTATAGACACTTTGGAGCCAGACGAACTCCGGCAAACGTTGTGATGCTGAGCTGGTGTCATTCCTCTCCACAATGAGATCGACAGTGCGTACGACAAAGGTTTCATGGTGGGGATTAAATCGCCAGCGGAACGAGAGAGATAGTCCTTATCGCAGCTGTTCAGCATAATGCTCATAGTGCGGAGTCTCTCGCCACGTTATAGAGTTTGGCTTTCCACGGGTCTCCTGTGCTGGGGTATACAGCGTGTTGGCGGTGGCCCATAAGGAAGCGATTGGAGACATGATTGAACTGCAGTCGTCACCACCAGTCGTCTTTCTATCCCCTGGCGCGTAGCGGAATATCCTCTCTGCAGATGATGGCACCGGCAGTCGGGCGAATCAGTAATTATAGGTAAGCAAGAGTGCCGTAGTTGGGTAGTCTTAGATTAGAGATAAGCGTTCTCAGTCTGAGATGAGTACTGAGCATACCGCTACCTAACCGTTAGCACGTCCTGGAAATGGTGATACAGGAGGAGCTAATAGACACTCACTTCGTAGAGTTTTATTGATACTGTGTACGGAGTACGCCGTACACAGTCGGCATTGATTGATCTGTGGAAAATACTACATAACCCCACTAGTCTTCTCCCACTAGAGAGAAGTAACTATCTACCTGTGGTCCGATTGCTAAGTAAGGACGATTGTTAGTTCTTGGACCAGATGTTTCTCACATGTTACAGTCGGTGCTATACGTAACTCCGAGCTGACCCTCTCAGATACTCAAACTGGAACATGCAGCAACCCGCATGGGTGGCGTGCAGTCATGCGTCCAAGATTTGAAGGTGGAATTGATGATTGCAATTCGAACCCAGTGCACGCCATAAGTCCCCCCCCCCCCAAACGGAGCTAAATTTAATTCAGAGCTAATGAATAGAGTTCCGGGGGTGGTTGATGTTACATCGCTTGCTCGACGGACATATATCTACATGATTGCTTGTAATTGCTAACGATTGTGGCTAATGCCAAGGTGTAGCGCTAAGTATACTAAAACACTAGTACGTTCTTCGAATGTAACCTTTAAGTCAATCTTTAGCAGGAAAGCTCTAAGCCTCTAAGGTCAACAAGACCGACCTATTGGGGGGGAGGGGGGGAAATTCAGGATATAGTGGGACTGTCGTGTTTTATAGTATGAAGCCTTACGTCGTTAGGCCACTATCGGGCTACCGTCGGGCTACTATAAGGCTATTTCGCTTAGAGTAGGTGGGGTTATAGGTTCTAGGTTAGATACGCCGTATAGGTAATTAGAGTCTAGATAGTACTATTTAGGCGACGATAATAGTAATAATATAATACGAAGATATATTCCACGTAGTATTTTAAATTACCATTTTATAGGCTAGCAAGTACTGTATCTTAGTGGGGAATAACAAAAGTTATTACGGAAATCTAACATGAATTTGAGTGTCTCAAGAACTTTTCGATCTTGGTATATACGGAGTACGGTATTTCCTCGTCAAGTAAAACATCACCTATAGTAAAATACGATACCGGTATGAGTACTAATACTGGGACTGGTATGATACAAGGGTGTAGCTGCTGATCGATTCATGGGTTTCAGTAATTAGCAATACTCCTTCTAGATACGGGATCCCTTCCGGACATTCAGCACCATCTCGATATGCTCCCTCGCCAGTGGTACATTATTCTGCTTCGACAATAAACGAGCCGTTTTGACCGTATTCTTTATCTGCCTGCCATTCATCTCAATGGCTGCCAAAGACTCCAAGTCCGCCTCGCTCAGTCGACCATCTAGTTCTCCCATCCGAGCAAAGGTCTTCCATATGTGGAGCCGACTCGCCGGACCCAAAGACGGGTATTGGATGGTGAGATGAATGCGCGACTCAAATGCAGGGTCAAAATCACTGACTTGGTTACTCGTGAGAAACATCACCCCTCGATAATATTCCAGTTGCCTGAGGAAGACTGGGACGGAGATTGGACCATTAGATGGTTTGGCACCTTGACAAGAGTGGGAAAAACTTACCAGAGACCAGTCGGTTGCGACGCAGATCCGCACTCGAACGAGCTTCGAGGAACATGTCGCACTCGTCCAACAGCAAGATGGCATTCCAGGCACTGGTCAGCTGCAGTACTTGTTCAAGTGATTCTTCTACTTCCGAAGCGGTCTCTCCGAGTTCGCTCGCACCCATCAAGTACAGTGGCTGACGCATCTCCTCGGAAACTGGGGGAAATTGAGTCAGTAAAAATCTGCGGTTGTTCAAGCTATTCAGTGGGAATAACTGTACCCGATTCCGCAGTCAGTGTCTTTCCAACTCCAGGTTCTCCAGCGAGTAACATGATGAAGCCCAGACCTGTGGTAGTATTTTTAGCCAACTCCTGGTGTCCCGATCATCCGGCTATTGGGGTATTTATGGTCACCTTTGCCGTAGACAATATCATCAAACTTGTCATCTCGGGCCAGTTGTTCCTGTACAAAGGCGCGGATGATTTCCTTGTAACCATGGGGAAGAACAAGCTGAGAGAAAGCGTCCTTGCTCCAGCGAATGGGACTGACGTTGTCCACGTCAAACTCGGCTAAGAAACGAATGTTCGGGTTACCAGAGAACTTGATAGTAGAAAAGCAGACAATCGCGCTCACCCCATGTTTTGAAAGATAGGCAGTAACCGCGAACGACGTGATTGCAGAGCAACCTCAGATTCGGACTCAAGATTTGATCTGTTGTAGAAATCAGAACTGATCCATGGAGCCGTGGGTGGGATGTGTGGTAGGCTTACGAGCACTGGACGTGCTGTCCCTGCTACACCTGATGTGCTTTCCCAAGGCATTCTGGTATTCCCGATACGCATGACTCGTCGCTTTGAATACCACATTGGGCACATCAAAGAGCGAGTCTTCGGCGGCCGAACTTGTGACAGAGTCCGTCTCCGCCTGGATCGGCCCGAGGCCAGGCCCCGGTGTGCCATACAGACTGAACATATGCGGATCAACGATGATGCGACTGTTTTCGACCTGAACCGAGCGTTGAGACCAGTATTAGCGCCCTGCAATCAGCGGGGGAGAGCCGCTCTGAGCCCGCTCTGAGCACATACATGGCGCTTGCGGATCTGTCGTGACGACCTGGCCGTGTAGAACCCTGAGTACGACATGTGGTGGAAGCCGTTGAGCTGCTCGAATTTCTCTCCCCGGGCATGCAGTCGGTCGATCAGACCTTTCACGTCAGGATGAAGATGGCTAGGGAAGGCGATCAGATCGAGGAGTCTCCTGACACCGTCGAATTTGTCAATATCGAGGGAGGTGGAGACATAGCCGAAGCTGGACCCGTCGCAGTCAATATAGCGACACTCCAGTGTGAAGAACTCCCCACCCATATTGGCCCCATACCGACTCTCGGTAATCTCCATCAGACGGGGTTGCCCATTCGAGTGGGTGAAGATTTCCATTCCGGGACCGAAGATCGTCCACAGGTGGTCGAAGCTCATCACCTTGTTTTTGACCAGGTCCCGCATCGCCTCGATGTACGGCACAATCTCCTCACGTAGAATGTAATACAGGAGGTTGAGGTGATGCCCAAGTTCCGGGTCCAGCTCCTCCTCGCGGAGCTTCTCGAAACGATGCCATCGATAGTAGAACGGATGAAATGGCGCCTTGAAGGTCAGATCTTTCAGTTGAGTGTTCAGGCCCTCAAATCCTTGGAACATCCGTTCCAGTACTTTCTTTATCAGGGGGCTTTGAATGGTAATCGAATATAGGGCGACCTGGTGGGTAATGGGATGGGGTTCGCGGCGCGCAATCACAGCGAATTCTTGGGTCAAGGACCCGGCTTCGGCTTCAGTCGCAGACGGCTTGGGTACAGACTCGTTCCACGCCGATCGATCGTCTGGTCGGTAGAGCTGCTGGACCTCCGCTCTCATTCCGCGCCCAAAATCCGGGGTGTACCCAGGATCGACGCTCATCTCGGACTGTCAATGGGTCAGTGTTCTGCCTCCTGCCTCCTGCCTTTGGACTCACTGAATGACAGTCAAGACGTACCAGGTCGCTGCTGGAGGAGGCAGCACTCCGGTGATAAGCAAGAGAACTCCCGCCGTCCGACATGGCGATGATCACGGAGTGAAGGTAGCAGCTTTTCGCGGTTTGCGCTTGAAAGAAATCAATCTAGCGGTCAGCAGGGAACGTTTCCATCTGGGACAATTCTGCGTCGTACAAGTAAGGAGAAAAGACGAGTGGAGAGAGTATCGTAACCTGACTTCCAGTGCATGCCTCTCAAGATCCTGCGTTCTTGTGTTCCGGGCTACGCTTGTCAATCATCAGGCGTGGCCGATCTGTGGATACACACAGCAGCCTAATCGTCCGGGAAACGATCTACCAAAACCACCCACTGTTAACGGAACCGATACGCGAGTGGGTCGGCCCCCAAATACGACGTTGAAGGCGAAATTTTACAAATTCACATATCAAAAAAAATACGCCGATCACTACAAAGATGATACAGCCTTATGGTATTCCATGGTAACCTTGAAACCCTGGGCTGATCATGGTTGATGAGCCCCCGGCGATTGTATATGAACGATGATGAACAAGTACTATAGTTCTTGTGTGAATGGGATCGTATTATTCGTAATAGTGGAAGTCGATACTATTCCAAGCCCGATGATACCTCCATATTGGGATTTCCAGGTTGAGAATGTAATACCCAAGATGTTCTAGCGCGCAACTTCAGCATAGTGCTTTTGTTAGCATGTCTCAGTTAGCTGTCTTCTAGGACTAGCGCGTACCCGTATAGAAACGCTTCCGCTTCCTGATTTTCTTAATCTTGGAGTGTTTCCACTCGCTCGTGGAGTGCGTCTCCCGTGGTAATTAGTTGATTTAGTAGTGAAGTCACCCGAGGCTTGCTGCCTTGCCTCACCAAGACACTGTGGGGCTCGTCAAGATTACTGTCTCTTGCACATAGTTATGTGTGTATACAGTTGTATTTAGTCACTTGGCTGTAATCCGTGGTAAATTTAACAATGTATCTCAACTTGCAAGTAATTCGATTCGTGCCATAATACACGTACAACCAGGCGTCGGCGAGAACGATATAGTCAGTAATGCGAAAGTCCTGACCCTGATCGTCTTACAGAACGTAAAGATCGGTATGCTAATACTGTACGCCTTTAGTATACAGCGGTCGTAATTTACTTAAACGGGACCGCAACAGTATCGAAACCAAAACGTGTATCCGTACGCAAATTGCGCCATCGAAGTCGAACTAACTTAGTAGTCAGATGTGATGACAATTCAGCACCGGACTCGGACTTTTCGACAGGTGTCGCTCATGACCGAGATCGGTGGCAGTTGGATTGAATGAGTGTGAGGTTGTAAGAGGGAGGTCTCGATGTGGTCCAGTTCAGCACACCTACTAAGCGAACGTGGTAACTATCCGATTTTCCACATCCCTTCGTGGTACTTCACCCCCCGACCGGAACAGGCAGCTGCACTGGAAGGTGTTCATTCGCGGAATGAGGAAGTAGGTCAAGATCAAATTACGGAAGCATAGCATGTCTACAGTTGCGACATTAGTTGTCTGGTGGTAGACCATGCCAAGTGAGAAAGCCTGTGCGGATCTGACAATATCAAGATTGAGCTTCTCAATTTGGTAATTCCTAGTTAAGTTATTCCTCCATGTGCAACCCCTGATTCCTCTGCATCACAAGGTACACTGCAGTACTGTGAGACGATGCTTTTCAAGGGCCCTGCGAGGACGACCCTTTCCCCGTAGCTCGAGCACTAGTATCATACCCAACCATATTCGCCCTGACGGAAACTATGTGCCGCGCGCCACGTTGACGAGGTCCAAGCTTTGAGGTCCAAGCTTTGTCCGGATCCTCCGACGCTGGACGAGGCATTCGACCATTCAAATCGCAGACCGAGCGTACCCGACACCATCCTCAGTCTTCGGACTGCTTCTTATGCTCTGTGAGGTTCTCGATCCCCGTCTTTGTCTCCGTATGCTCCGCGCTCATGAACCGCTGCTTGATGAAGGGGGTAGCCAGGAGTCCGATTCCGGCCGCGACGGTGTACATTATGAACATATTACGTAGACTCCAGGCAAATGCGCTCTGCACCACGTGGTGCTGGACCGGATCGTCGACGGTCGCAATCATTTCCACGTTCGCTGCGGCATTGTAGCCGGAAAAGGCATCCAGGTAGGTTGAATTGAGGCCAGCGGCGACGAGCGATGCTTGCTGCACAGCCATGCTATCCTGAAAGACAACCCCACCGAGCACGATCGACAGGGAGGTGGCGATGCTGCGCACGAATCCCAAGGTGGAGGTTGCGACGGCGGCATCGGCCTGCTGGACGTTATTCTGGATGGCGAGCATTGGGGTCGAGAGGAGGAGGGACAGGCCGATCCCGCCGATGACCTCAATGACGATCACCTGAGCGAGTGAGGTCTCAATGCCGAGCATCACATACAGGCCAGTGCCCAGGGTCAAGAGCACGGTCCCAGCCCAGATCACCTCCCGGTAGCGGCCAGTTTTGTGGATGAGGACGCCAACGGACACGTCGCACAGCGACGCGGCGACCATCATCGGCAGCACCAGCACACCGCTTTTGGTCGGAGAGGCGCCCTTGACGCTTTGGAAGTACAAGGGGAGGTAGTACTCGGAGCCTCTCGTGGCCATACTGTGCGACGCTGCGACGAGAATGACCGCGTTGTTGGACCAATCCCGGAAAAGTCGCAAGTCCATCAAGGGAAACCGCGCGAGGCGCTTCTCGGCAAAGAGGAAGAAGCCAAACAACACCGAGCCAAATACGATCATGCAGATGATGGTCGGACTGTCCCAGGGGAAGGTCGCCCCACCAAAATCGAGTCCAAGGAGGAGGAGAAGTATGACTGTCAGGATGGAGACAATGCCGAACCAGTCCACGGCCTTGAAGCCGTCACGAAGTTTGGTCCGCGGGTTGTGCAGGTCCAGGAACAGCACGAGAACGATGAAGGCGAGGCCACAAACGGGGAGATTGATCCAGAAGCACCAGCGCCAGGAGGCATACTGCGCCAACGCGCCCCCAATGACGGGCCCCGTGGTGCCAGCGAGGACCCAAACAAGAGCGGTCGCGCTTATGTACAGCGAGCGATGCCGCATGCTGAAGAGATCCGCAATGATGATATTGACTAGGGAGATGATTCCCCCGCCCGCAAGACCCTGCACGCCGCGCCCAGCGATCAACATGGGCATGTCGATAGCTGCAGCCGCAATTGTGCTTCCGACGGCGAAGATGATGATCGCGCCCAAGACCGCCAGCTTGCGACCCCAGATGTCACTGATGCGGACCCACATGGGGTTGACTGCACACATAGACAGTAGATACGCCGCGCCAATCCAGGTGTAGCCGGCCGCGGAGTGCAAGTCCTTTGTCATGGCAGGAATCGCGGTCGCCACGATGGTTTGATCGAGCGCAGAAATAAACATCACAAGCTGGAGGACCCGGTGATCCGACAATGAGTTATTTCAAGAACAGGTGAACCGACGGACCAGGCCACTTACACAAAGCATGAGGACTATCCCGGCATTCCGCCGGTTCGAGCGTTGAACGGACGGAGGGGTCAAATTCTCGGAGATCTGGAGGGGCTCGATGGTCGCTTGGGGATTCTCCGTCGACGAACTCGCCATACGCTCGGGTACTCGTTGCGGCCGCTCCATAATCAGATCCGAGTCCAGGGCCGCTGCTGTTGGTGAAGGAGCTTTCACAGCTGAGATTTCGTCCGCCACCTGGTCAGGCATCTCCTCTAGCAAGCAAAGCAAGTGTCTATACGCAGAACGATCAGATGCGACGGCGTGACCCACTGTCGGCGAGGCAGAGGTTTTAAGACTGAGCTGGTCAGGAAGACTCTCAGGGGAGGAGGGGACATCCTCGGGTGAATGCAGCCATAAGGTGCCTAGCCAAAAGCGATCCAAAATCACCTTGTCTTGGCAGACTGGTCAAACAAAGGGCGTCGGTACTTTTGCCCTGCCTCACTGAGCGGCGAACGGCGTGCACGACGAATGAAGGGCGTGACGACTCACGAGGTCGACCCACAGGCCAGAAGCTGAGAGAAGACCGTATTGAGGTGATCTCCAGCGTGTCTGGGCCACAAGTGACCGCCCTCAAGCCCCTCAGCAAGGTGAAGTAGATTAATTCTGCTATCGAACATTCTCTGTCAAGGTGTGATGGCTCGAGATATTCCGTGTACGGTATGGGAGTCTGCATATGCGGTGAAAAGGAGGTCAGCGGGGGGTGGTTGTACTGTAACAGACTGCAAAACGCAAATCAAAATACAATAATACCAAGAGACATCAGCGTGCTGTATTCCGTACTGACACCGATGTCCAACACTAGGGATGGTGTAATTTCGAAATTAGCCAACCCATTTCGAAATGGTTTCAAAATATCGATTTCAATTTCACGAACCTCATTTCAAATTTCGGCAAAATTTGTGAAATTACATACGTTTCAAATTTCACCTACCATCCCTAGTGGAAGGTATTAGTGCAATTGTGGAAATTCGACCTGGGTGCTTTCCAACAGTCATCCTATAAGAATAATGCAGCCAGTCGACTGGCGCGATCTCCGTGTCTTCACCATTGACAAGGCATCTCATCACCAAACGCACTGATGTCGAGCATTATCCTCGTTCGCGATCCAGAGGACCGCGAAAGTATGTTTCCGTCCCCGCTCCTCTGCATTCTCATTGTCTTCGAGACCGATGAATGGATCCAGTTCAATTCAAATGGACCTGGCACCCTAGTGAAACGATCACCGATGCCTCGGGGAGTACCTCCTGGCAGGCCGTCCATCTACTTTTCAAAGAGGTAACACGGTCTGTGGGATTTCAATGGCCATCGGACCAGGATTCGCGTCTTTTCATCCAGCTATCTTCTCAGGAGCACCACCCAATCCAGCCCCAGCAGTGGGGATCGGAAGAAGCTCTTCGATTGCTCCTCGACTGCCTCTCTGCTACCATCGGCGAACAGGGCACGGCCCTCAGTCTGGTGGTTCCGCAATGCCCTGGCTATATCGTTCGCCCCGATATAATCCCGTTGCGTTTACTCGACTGTCCGCTAGTCGCACGCGTGTCCAGCTTCGCGACACTTCAACACCGCTTCGAGGGTGAATCGCTTCACCCTGAACACTCCGCGGCGCTTCCAAACGTCTTCGCCGCCTCTGCTGGCGGCGTCATCGTGAAGCAGCCGGGAACCGTCGATCGCCGTCACGCCTGGGATGAGCAATTTGCCTCGCTCGATCAGGAGATACGCAATCGTTTGTCGTTCCCCTGGTTGTCTGCGCAGAGCCGCCTCCGCAGGACGCTGGCGATTGTGGATGGAGGGATTAGCAGCCCGGAGCACGGCGGCACGGGTGAGAGTCTCTACACAGCCGCTCTCGCTCTCGGCATTGACATGGTGGTGCTGGATAGCCCGACCCACTGGGTGAATGGCTTGGACTATGTCCACTGGCGGAAGGCGGCGATCCCCCTAGAATGCCCGTTGCACCCGGACGCAAAATTCCCTGACCGGATCGTCGAGGCGGTGCGCGCGTACGACGGCCAGATCGACGGGATTGTGACTTTCCGTGACCACTACAAGCGCCTGGTGGCCGAAGCGGCTGTACGGCTGGGCTTGCCGACCTACTCGCCATCGGCGTACGAGATTGCGACCGATAAATTCAAGACCAGTGTCTCCGAGGGACACCACGCCTTTGTGGCGTCGAGTGCGGCGGAAGGTTGTCACATTGTGCGCGAGCATGGGCTGGCGTTCCCCTTAATCATCAAGCCCACGAATGGATTCCTCTCCGAGGGAGTCGTGCGAGTCGAGAATCTTGCCCAGTTCGAGGCAGGCGTGCAAGCAATCCACACCGAGCGCCACGGTAGCGAATTTGTGATTGAGAAATACTGTTCGGGGCCCGAGGTCGACGCGAACCTTGTCCTCTGTGACGGCGAATTGATCTTCTTTGAAGTCTCAGATGACTTTCCCAAAGGCGCGGATGTCAATGAGCAGGCCTCCGTCAATACGTTCATCGAGCTAGCAAACGTGCTTCCGTCCAAGCTGCCAGAGGCCGAGCTCACGATGCTGGGAGAGGCCCTCACGAGGAGCGTGCAACGGATGGGCTTTTCGGACGGCTTCTATCACCTCGAAGCCAGGGTAGAGAACTCGCGCATGCACTACGTGGTGGATATTCGCACCGGCGTCCTCGACCTCACCGAGCGAGATCGCCCGCCCACGGGCGCCCCGTCGGCCTGGCTGATTGAAGTCAATCCGCGCCCGCCCGGGATCCAGGCCTCGGCGGCTGTCAAGCACACGTACGGCGTTGATTACTTTGCGCTGGCGCTGCTGTTCGCACTAGCTGACAAGGAGCGAGTGCGGCAACTCTCACATCCCTTTCTGCAGGGTCCGCAGTACTGGTGCGAGATGGTGTTCATCCCCGTCGAGAAAGGCGGGGTGTATGACTCCGGGGATTTGTGCGAGGACCTACGGGAGAGGCATCCGGACCTGGCTGCCTCTGTGTCCGCGTCCTTTTGCTTTTTGAGGAAGGGAGACCTAGTCGTCGATCCGTCATCGGGGGTCAACTCTTGGGTCGCATATTTCAACGTCTTTTCCCGCGAGAGCCGCAAGCATGTCTTGGATTTAGCCAAGGAAATTCGCCGGGTGGTGAATTATTCCATTGTTTAGGGAAAGGCGTGACAAGGCGTTTTTTCGCTGCATTGGGTCTCGAGGTAGATACATCTAGAAACACACCAACAACTATGTACATAGATCAACCCTACAATCGCGAACAGTGAACCTTTCTCCTATGACTGCGACGCTCTTCCTATCTGTGTCTTCGCAGCATATACACAGCCAATCTCCCGCCTTGCTAGTCTTCTGCATGGTGATCTCCCCTATCCCCAGAGGGCTGGGCTTGCGGGCAGGATGATGGATCCTTCATACACCAACCCATCTGGTCGGTCTTGGACCAGCGGCAACACACCATCCAGGTCGACATAGTCGCAAAATTCCGCGAGCAGCAGCGCGGGGGCGAGTGCCAGCGAGCTGCAGGCTCTGCAGCCCACCATGATACGAAAATCTAGGGCCTGGGCCTCGGTAACCAGCGCAAGCGCCTCCGTCAAGCCGCCGGTCTTGTCGAGCTTTACATTGACCCCGTCGTACCGATCGCGGAGCTCTGCCAGGGTGCGCCGGTCGTGGACGCTCTCGTCCGCATAGATCGGGATGGAATGGTCGAGATCGCGCAGCGCTACATCGGCACCTGCTGGCAACGGCTGCTCTACCATCTGGACCCCGAGTTCTTGGCAGACAGCCAGAAAGGCGGGCAGCTCTTCCACCGTCCAAGACTCGTTGGCATCGACAATCAACGTCGCCGCGGGTGCGGCGGCCCGGACCGCGCGGAGTCGGGGTTCGTCATCCTTGCCACCGAACTTGACCTTCAGAAGGGGTCGGGCGGCTTCCCGCCCCGCGCTGGCACCCATGGCCTCCGGGCTGTCGAGAAAAATGGTCACGGCAGTGGTGACGGGCTGAGGGGGGCTTAGACCCGCGCGCTGGAAGGCGGGCACGCCAGTGTATTTGGCTTCGAGATCCCAGAGGGCGCAGTCAATAGCATTGCGAGCCGCGCCTGCGGGGAGGATGGTCTGGAGATAGGCGCGATCGGGCTTGCTCTCAATCAGCGGAGCCACCCGGGCGATCGTCGCCAGCACGCTCTCCACGGATTCCTCATATCGTTCAGAGGGGATCGCTTCACCGCGGCCAGTGGCATCACCGGCGGTTAGGGTAACCGTGATCACATTAGCCACGATTTGACTCCCGCGAGCGATGATCGAGGGGATGCGCAGCCGGAAATCTTCCGTCTGGCACTGAAGCTTGACGGTTGGGGGAAAGTGGACGGGGTCTTCTTGGGGGGCGGTCATGATGAGGTGTGCTGTTCGTTTTCCTTCCAACTGCATTTGTTGTTGTACGTTGTCTTCTTTTCCCTGGGCAACAAGATTCGACCTAGCTAGAGGCAAGCAGGAAATACCCTCACAATCAGTTACTGATGCTCCCGCAGAGGATGTCTCAGTCCATTATATTTTGATAGATACATCTACCTCTATATATACTCCTCCCTCGACTGTAACATCGGGCTGCGGGTTACAAAACCTACGTCAGATTACGCGTTTTCAACGCGTAAGTGTTTCTGGAATTGCAAATGCAACTAGTCGAAAATCGTCAGGTAATGGTAAGTTACCTGACCGGATTGTCATGGGCGTGGCCCCCACTGGAACTTTTGCCAACCTCCACTTTGCCCCTTCGGGCAGTCGGAATCTGACAGTCAGCGTGGATGATCCCCACTTAGGTACATGTACATGCAATATCACCCAGCGTGGGGCTTACCTCGAATCCTCTAAACCGGCGACCCTGGCGATCGCCGGCGCCGTCGCGCGAGCTTCCTGGGTGCGCTTTAGATGGTACCTATGCCGCCGGCGATACCTAGCGACCGGCGCGACCAGGCTGGCTGCCCCACTTCGTACCACTGTCTCCCTCTAGGCAGGGAAAACACAACAAACCATTGGTTTATAACCTCGTCTCCTGAAACGGCCGGCCTAAACTAGAGGTGCTACGCCTTTATGGCTATCTCGGCAACAGAATAGCCAGTCAAAGAATTGTCAAAAGTAAAATGTGCTAAGCAAAATAGACCGTACCGGAACACGTGATAGAACATATTACCTTTTGTATCTCTATTCTCTATAGTTACTCATAGCGAGCAGCCATACAATCAGCAAGCTCCAACATAACATGAGCCCCCCTTCTCCAGGCGTAAGTGGTCATCTCGTTTGGGTGAATGCGTCCTGGACTTCTAGCTTTATTCCCTAGGCGGCGGAACGCAGGTTCGGTTCGACGCCACTCGCAAGGCAATTGTTCCGGAAGACAATCGGATTGTTACCAGTCTTTCTGTATTTGCGAGGGGAGAGGGTCCGTTCCTGCTGGGCGGACTAAGGTCCACATGGAAGACATTATGTACCCCTCGGGGAACATTGAGACAGGTAAATCCCAACTTGTGGAGCCAGTTTTATGATCTGCATAGTAAATCCGTCCGGTTTTGGTAGTCCGTTTCTCCCACCCTGGTGGAAGTGTGAATTCTTGTATCTCCGAAGAAGGACTTTTGCGACTAACAGTAGTGGATAGTTCCCAACTTGTCGATTTAGTGTTGTGATCTATGTAATAAGTCCGTCCGTCTTTTGCAATCCCACGGTCTCATACTGGAGGTAGCTGCGAGCCAAGTGGCTCTGATGGACGCGTCGCCTTTGCCTTCCCGCCTGCTTGGAGTTGTAACTCGTTTTCTTTGCTATCTGCCATGGTTTATTCTCGAACTAGATGCAGGAACTAGATAGAATATCTCAACAACAAGGTGTGGATTGTGTACGGTGAATATGACGAGTGCTTTGGGCGGGGTTCAGTCAATGTCAGTAAAAAAAGAAATATAATAAAATAAAATTATAATATTACACATAATAAGTAAAGTAGACTGTATCTTTAACAATACTCTTACTCTATATCATCCACACTCGGTGACTTGAATAGCTTTGATTATGAAGCAAGCATGTTGCGCGTAGGTGCAAATAAATTGTCTCCCTCTTGCAGGCATTCCTTCTACAAAAATATAAGAAATAGAGCATAATAGCATGCTAATTAGAAGACACAAATCATCTGCCCGGGCGTCAACCTTGCTGTCGTGGCCCAATAAGAAAATGGCTGCGGCGCAGCATAAGCGCTCAACCTCCTCTGTCCAGTTTTCAAGCCTTTTATTTTAATCTCGAGCCATCCCCTCTTTCTTAAGCACACGCGAGAATGGATCTAATTTCAGCATTCATACTAGTAGTCAATATTGCGACGCTTATCGATATCTGTGTGAAGGTCGTTGGCGTCTACAAAGATGGCCTGAGCGTGAACAATGCCCGACTCGCCGAGACTGCTGGCGAGATGAAAGACTTGTGGCAACGTCTCAAAGACGCCCCTCTCTTGAAACAACCCACCATTTCCGGATCTCTGGAGACAAATCTCCAGGATTGTGCTCGACGGTGTATCGAGAAGGCAGCGGCGCTTCGGAAAGAGCTAGATCTGCCAGCAGCGTCAAATTCGAGGCGACAACGCGCTGCCAAAAGTGTCAGGCTCTTGTTTTCGAGAAAAGTATCTCAGCTTGAGCAGGATTTGAGGGATTTGAAGGCCGAGCTGGATACAAAATTGCTGGTTAGCCTACGGTAGGTCATTTGTGTTTGAAGACGCAGCCAGGTGTCGCTGACAAAAACGTTCAATAGAGACAAGATCGACTTCAGCGGAGTAGAACAAAAGGATCACTCTAAAGCGCTTGATGCTTCAATTCAGAATCTTTTCGTGCGGTTTCGTGACAGTCAGACCAAGTCTTGGGAATTGGTATTGGATCGGAACACTGGACGTATATTAGACAGCATTGATGATATACGGAAGAAACAGATCGAAGATGAGACTCGTCGGGATCTAAAACAACGCAAGAATATTATACTTGATAGTTTGCTGTACGGAAACCCATTCACCCGCAAGAATGATATCCTCAGCAAGCACGACGGAACCTTTGAGTGGATAATCGACGAGAACTCTGGAAGCGCATTCTCTAGCTGGATTAAGTCTGATAACGGCATCTTTTGGATTCAGGGAAAGCCTGGTTCGGGGAAAAGTACCCTGATGAAATTCATATCTGGGAATCGAGTCGCGAAGTTCCTTCGGCAATCCGTATCAGCGAAGACACCTCTGATAATTTCATTCTATTTTTGGCTCGCGGATAGTGTGAAGATGCAAAATACTGAGAAAGGGCTACTTTGTTTTCTGCTTGCTCAGTTCTTGGAATCGCATTGGCCACTGGACTCCAGCTATCTTACGGATGTGAAGTTACGGCAGAAGAAGACACAAGGGAAATGGGACCTACCGGAGCTGAGATCGCTGCTGCTTATAGCGGTAGACAAAGTCTTCGAGCATCAGTCCGTATTCATTTTCATTGATGCGCTTGACGAATGCCAAGCTGATGATCTTTCCGGTGTAATCGACATTATCAAGGTTCTATCAGAACATGGTGTCAAAGTTTGTGTCTCTTCTCGGCTTGAACAACGAATTCTCAAAAGACTCGAGCTCATAGCTGCAGAGGCGTTGAGAATCGACTTGCACACAAAGGGCGACATTGCAAATTTTGTCAACGACATATTTGGCACCATTTATCTTGATCCCGAAATCCTAAGTGGCAACGAGTTGGGCCAGTTAGCGTGGCTAATCATCGATCACGCCGACGGAGTGTTTCTGTGGGCTACGCTGGCCGCCAAAGACGTTCTGAGGGGTATTAATAGTGGGGATCACTTCGATCAACTCTATCAAAGAGCGAACCAACTGCCGAGTGATATTAATGCCTTGTATAAAGGTATGCTGGGGAGGCTTGGTCCTGATCAGTCTCTCTATATGGCTGAGGCTGCAGCTTATCTAAGTCTGGCCTTGTATTCGGAAGAATACTCACCTGTTTTCCTATGGCCGACTGATAATGCCCTCCCTCTCTTAAATTACGTGTGGATATACGAGAAGTTTCGGTGTAGCACTCTAGTCCCTCACGCACACATATTATTCATGACTACAGAGTAGACTTAGAACAATTCCGCTTGGAATGACTCCTAGAATTCATTAAGATGATAAAAAAATGGGGGGAGGGGTCGTTACAGTAAGTAATAGATACTAAAACCACATATTTTTTACTATTGTTCGAAAGATAAAAAAGAAGATAAGTCCACAAATATAAAGTGGTAAAAATAGATGTGCTGTCGGGAGCCAAACGTTTAACCGGAGTCAAGGGAGAATGAAATGGTGTTAACAAATTATTTGAAAAAGAAGAGATTCCCCCTAAGTGCATAGAGGGGTCCAGCAATTGCACAATGCTTGGCAATTTTTTCTAGGCCCGGCGTTCTCTGACGTATGTACCAAATAGCCGGCTTCCAGGCCCTCTATAGCAATCAAGTAGTCTACGATTCATAGATTCCGTAATTTTTTCATGACACCTCTTGCAGGAGATGTCCGCTAAAATGGACTTTAGATGCTCAGGCTACTCATATAGGTGCTCAATTCGCTTTCTCCATTGATACTCCCAATGGGGCTCGTTATTCCTTTGCCACAAGGGAAATCTTTGCAAAGTGCAATGCCTCTGATGGCTACCTAAAGGTTTGGCTGTTCTATTGAAACAGTCAGTATCCACCCAAGAACGCAGGTTACTGCCCGTGTCGCTCCAGAAGCTTAACTAAAGCTTCAGTGCTCAGTCGATTGAGGCTTTCTTCATCCAGACGGTAGGCTTGGACCAAATCCCTTCGCAAGTCGGTCGAATTGATATCGGTAGAATGAGGCCTCGCAAATTGCAAATAATAGCCTTTCCTCTTCAAGTTTCTCTCATCCACCCCAATGCACGTCCAAAGTACCGCTTCTCTATCCCCATTCTCGCCGTCTATGTTCATTTCAAATTAGTCATTAATATCGCAGAAATGGAACTTACAGGCACTCACTGTCCCCGTCGTCAGAACGAGACCATTCCTCAAATCCCTTCCACGCTGCAGGCCTTCCATCACTGCCGGAATGCTCGGCGACATGTCTCGCCTTATTCGAAACGAGCATCCTTGGCAACTCATACGGATAGTTGTCCAACGGGTTCTCCAGATTCAAATTATCCGGTCCAACCAGATGCGTGAAAGCCACCTCGAACCCATCCGCCTGCGTCAGCCGCACTACTGTTTCCATAAATGGTTTTAACGGATACCATGTACTGCTCCACACCCAAACGCGATTTTTCGGGATATCCGGAATAGCATCGAGAAGATCCGCTCGGCGGGTTCGACTGAGAAAGAAATTCGATTGGCTGCTGGCGAGTTTATGGCAGAGATGGAAATCCTCGCTGGGGAGGACGAGCATTGCCGCGGCTCCGAGCTCGGGTCGCAGTCCAGAGAGGAGCACATCTAGGTGGCCCTTGTGCGGGGGGTTGAAGGATCCGCCGTAGATGACTATCAGGTTCTCGCGGCCTGTTTGGAGGGTCACGTCCAAGTGTTGGATCTTGTTGAGATCCGAGGGGGAGGTGAGTCGGACGGCTCTGAGGGATCTTTCGATGTAAAGTTTTAGAGACATGGTCGGGAGTACCTTTGACAGTAGGATCGGGCTCGCAGTGTTTAGACCGAATGTGGGATTACCTTGGGTCTTAGATCTTACTTCCTAGACCATTGGAACTAACTACCTTAGGCCCCTCCTTTCACTATGTGACTAACTTATCAAGTGAGATATTATATCTAACGCTAGGAACAGACGCCCCAAATCGCCTTACTGACGCTTAATCTGGAGAGGCCTCAAAATATAGTGGCTATCATGCACCGTAAGACACTATCTAACTGTGAATTACGCACATCCATACGGTTCACCCGAAATAAGCCCATCGCCCTCCGCCCAGACTGCACAATCACCAGCTTTTTCATCCTACACGAATTTAGCATCCCACTTTGTTAGACTCGCCCTCAAACCTCCTTCTACACTACTCTCAGAGCTCGGTCTTCGAAGCAAACCAACAAGCGCCAAAGAGAACCACTGTCGCGGCGGGAATAGATAGTCCCCCATCGAGCTTCAGCTTGAACCTTTTACTAATCATCCCAGCCCCAAGAACAGCCACCAAAACAGTGGCAGTATGGACCTCGCCCCACATACCAGGGAAGTACACGCTCAAGATCACCTCCTCCGTCCAGCTCAACCACTGAGCGACAGCCACAGCCGTTGACATGATCAGGGCCGCATACGCAGTCGGAAGGCCCTCGTGGTAGAGTGACTTTCCCTGTGCATCCTTGGGTGTCAAGTGTGAAACGACATTAAATCTAGCGAGCCGCGCAACCCCGCAGAGGACGAAGAAGGTGAGAATTGCCTGGTCTGCTGGCGTGCGGAGCCCAAGGCTGTAGAGCATGAATGCCGGAGCTAAAACGAACGAAACCTGAATATTGTTACTGCGACGCCATCAGGAAGTCGAGGAAAAGGACGTGTGCAATGTACATACAAGATCGGAGAAACTGTCAAGTTGCTTGCCCATTTCGGAGGTTTCGTTCCGCCATCTGGCTATCATTCCGTCGAAGCGATCGAATTCATACCCCAAGAAAATGAGTATGTGAGCTGTAATGAACAACTGATGCGTGGAGGCGAAGATCGCGAGGACTAGAACAGGGCACGGTTATCAATTAAATAATTTTCTCGACACCGGGTGTTGTTCTCACCTCCACAGAGAGCTGAATTGGTTAGTATCTGAGCCTTTTAGTATGATTAGATGTAAATAACATACCATTTGACAAGGTCACGTAATCAGCGACTCGAAGACGCCTGTTCATAAACTGATCAGTCGTGGGACAGTTAATCCTAGGAAGAAACGTAAAAATATACGTACCTCAACATATCAAACTTAACCTCCTTAGCGACAGCCATTTTCTGGTTTAGGTAAGACCCTAACACTCGCACAGAACAACTAGGTTACAACACTCCTTTTTATACCTCCTCATTTGCTAGGATGCACTATCGGAAAGCACTAGGTGCCGGTGTATAGACCCTTGTCTCTGCGGGCAAGCGGCGGTCAGAATAACCGAAGGTAATTGCCAAACTAGACTATCGTGATACACGTAATTTCACGTACTAAACTCATACAGTACATACAGTACATACAGGTGGGTACCTGAAAGATCCAGCGGATCTACGGAAGTACGGATGTCCTTTGCCTGTCCATCCGCCGCAGGATTTGTCCCACTGCGGGCATCTTGCAGATCACCCGCATTAGTCCAGTACTCTAGGTTGTATCTCATGGGCGCCGGCACGGACATCTTAATGGAAAGTCTGAAAAGTGGGGAAAGAAGATCGATTTTCATAGTGTCTATGTGGAATCTGGACCTTTGTCATGCTGTGCCTAGATTACCTGATAATCTACCTTGATTACGGATTGCGCTTGATTCGCAGTTGACCATCGTATATGTTGCGGATACAATTCATGACTGTTCTATCGACAATGAATTATGCAGCCACGGGGGTCTCATGGGCATTCACTTCGATACCACGGACTGGGGCTCCAGGTGCGTCTTCAATGCGCTCGGGTGCATTTTCAACACGACCAGGCGTCTTCTCAATGCGCTCAGGCGTCTTCTCAATGCGCTCAGGCGTCTTCTCAATGCGCTCAGGCGTCTTCTCAATGCGCTCAGATGTATCCCCGCTCTCATCCATCAGCCAGTCTAAATCCAAGTATGTGTGTGCAAATATTCTGCCAGCTTTGACGGCCCTGATGTCCGAAAGAACCATCTCTTCCACCAGGGCATCCAAAGTATACTTGGGCTGCCAGCCAAGAACCCTTTGGGCCTTTGCCGCCGATCCAAGAAGGGTCTCGTTTTCCAGAGTTCGGTAATACTCGGGGTTCACTCGAACACGGACCGTGGAAGTGGCGGAGTCGGTGCCGACTTCGTCGAGGCCCGTACCGGACCATCTAGACCAGATTAGTTAGGTCGTGAAGCAGGTATTCGCTTGCGTCCAACTTACACGATCTTGATTCCGATGACCCGGAAAGCGGCTTCGACGAACTGCCTCACGCTATATGCCTTGCCGGAAGCGAGAACGTAGTCTCCACCTTTGGGCTGTTGGAGAATGAGATGCGCTCCGTGCATGTAGTCTTTGGCATGGCCCCAGTCGCGGACGGCATTGAGGTTGCCTAGCTCGAAGCCCTCTGATAGCCCACACGCAATCAGTGCAACTTGAGAGGTGATTTTTCGGGTAACAAATGTGGTGCCTGATCACAGTATTAGCGCCTCCTTTCTCTATCTGCCTGGCAGAAGAAGGGATGTGTGTACTAACCCCGCCTGGGAGATTCATGGTTGAAGAGAATCCCATTCGAGGCGTGAAATCCATAAGTTTCCCGGAAATTGACCGTAGTCCAATACTGGAATTGTTTGGCGGTAGCATAGGGCGAAATGGGGTAAAAGGGTGTCTCTTCCGTCTGTGGAGCGGGCATGTCGGATCCGTACAGCTCGGAAATACCGGCCTGGTTAGAGGGTTGATGTTAGTGTCTCTCTATCACTGCAGCGGTCTCCTGTGCGTACATTATAGAATCGGGCGGTCTTGCCCAGATTGAGAACCCTCATGGCTTCAAGCAATCGAAGAGTCCCGAGTGCATTGGTATCACTCGTCGATAGCGGCGTCTCAAACGACACGCCAACATGAGATTGCGCTGCAAGATGGTATATCTCGTCGATGCCCTGGATGCTACCCAGGATTTGAAGCAGCCGGCCCAGGTCGGACATATCCCCGAAATGAAGGGTAACTCCCTCTCGAAGAGGGCGGTTCAGAGTTTGCTGTCTCTAGGCGGAGGGCCGGACGAGACCATGCACTTCATATCCCTTTTCCAACAAAAGCTCGCAAAGGTAGGAGCCATCTTGGCCGGTGATTCCTATAAACACACAATCAGCACCATGTTGTGAGAGCTAGATGGGTTGGGTCGAGAGCACGCACCCGTAATAAAGGCCACCTTGGGCTTAGAGTTCAATTTGATGTCAACCGTATGTGACCGCTAGTTACATAGGAGACCTTCCTATTCCGAATATCGGAATTGGTAACTACCGATTCCCGAGGATTATGCAGAGTTTTCTGTTATTTCCATGGTTCAAAAGTTATATCTCTTTCAGCTGCCTTTTTAGGCTAGATTGCTTATTATTCTTTATGTATTTAAACCATCGTTTGCAACTAGATTGAAAGAATCGGACCTTCATCATTCGATATTCCTATGGGTAACATTACTAGCAATTACGCCTAGAGAAACGGCCAACATTTGACAATGGCCATGGTCGAGCAGTCGATTGAGAATTTCGCATGTATATAGAGCAAATGGGTAAAAAGTAATAGTTTGATTTGGTGGCCAGCCTTGAAGGATTAATGGACTCACGGTGACAGAAAGCGTCGGTTATCAGTACTATATCTAAAGTTTCACGAGGCCAGCTTCCAAGAGGGAGCAATACCACACGTGCTCAAGTTCCCTTAAAAGAATTTCAATTCCGAATGTCTTGATGAACCTGGATCATGGCTCCAATTCCCCGCCTTTCTGGTCATTAAGGCCCATTGTATTAAAACTAGTTGTCATCTTGCTGTAAATTGATGTAAGGCTACGTACGGATTGCGATACCGCAAAGTCGGTCATGTAAAAGGACGATATATTGGACTATGATGGGATATGGTGTAATAGCCCATGCCAACGCAAGCCTCTATGACTCGCGTGCATTGCTGTGCCTTGGCGTCCTAGGATTAAGGCTGGGATGCATATGCAGTGCGGAGTAAATAATGCGGAAGCCTAATTCTGGAGCCTGAATCAGGATAAGTGGCTAAGCACCAAAATCTTACTACAGCTCTTAGCAGTGTTCAACCTTAGGTACCAGTGCATTAGGGGTAGAATCGAATAGGGATTTTTCCTATTCGTATTCGAAAAAATCTTTATATGGTCTTATTCGAATCCGAAAATAATTAGGGACTCACTATTCGTATTCGA